TATCTAGTAAGTATTAAGCATAAATACTAACTAAATTGTTTAACTGTAATACTATCAAATGTGTTGTTAAACTGTATGTTCGTCTAAAATAAATATTCCTAGAAATACTAGTAAAATTATCATTTATAGTAGTATTTCATCTGAGATTTTTTAGTACGTATTTTTCACTTTTCAGTATGGCTTTCGACAGGGACGTTCGGCCGGTGATCTTTTAGCTTACTTAACACACCGATGGGCAGTGGCAATCGAGAGTAAGGGAGAGGCCTTCCAAGGAACGTAGCATTAAGGTCGTAATCGACGGTGCATGCTCTGATTTAAAACCTTTGAATGCTGGTGGTACTATCTCCGACTCTGTTTCTTCTGCATATCAATGATATGTTACAGATGCGGCTACCGGTCATGCAAAGATCGCGGGCACATACCGTGAGTGCCGGAATATCGAGTGGGCCTGATGGTATTTTTTCATATTTTGTTAATCATCGTTATATCAGCCGTTAACTGTCCTCTGATGAACATAGACTTCCCCTTGGAGGGGTGTTGCCAGTAGTCATCACGCTTGGCAGACAGGTTAACAAACGCTGACTGCGTTTATTAACCTTTTTACGATATTTCATGCCAGAACACCGCCTGAAATTATATTCAGGCCGCATATGGAATACTGTTCTCACCTGTGGGCAGGAGCGCCACAGTACCAACTCCTTCCGTTAAAAGTAAAAATAAAAAAAGATGAGGAATTGTTCGGATTGATACCTGCTGCTGATTTTCACCACCGTACAACCCGCCACAAACTAAAGTTTCATCCCAATCAAAGTCCACGCACAACCAAAAAATTAAAGAGATCAATAACTTGGAGGGGTGTTGCCAGTAGTAAGTTTAAAAGTAAAAATAAAAAAAGATAAAAGTAAAAAATTAAAGAGATCAATAACTAAGTTTAGTAGATGTATAAGGTTTACACGAATAAACAGCTTGTCAATAGACCGCCTATAAATTATAAAGAGATACAACATAACAAATACACTATTGATACCGAAGACGTATTCATTTCGGTTCGAATCGAGGACAGGTCTATGGGGTTACGGGAAAATACATAAATCACTAGTCAACCCGATTGGGCAAATCTATTGGGAATCCGAGCAACCCATCAATATGAAAAACGCAATACAAAATAATATTATTGTTACAAACCGAAGTCGTTTCCCCTTTAGGGTGAATAGTAATCACAAAATTAAAATAATACTAGAACAAAGTTTAGTAACAAGAAATAGAGTAGATACCTGTTTTTTTACATTTAATACAAACATGGACATCAACAGAAGAATTATAAAATTGTATTCCACAAAAAAAAACTTTAATCATGACATAATTAGTATTTTTTATTTAAAAACTAAACTACTGAATAGATTTGGTAAAATTTCTATTGGACCTGTGGTATATCTTTTCAGCTTAGATTATATACATATAGAGCATTGAGCCTCAATAATGGGTCAAATTTTTGTCAACTAATTGTCAATTTAGCTGACCCGTCTTTTTTATCAGTATTCTACATACTTACACATAAAATGAACCTTGACGTATTATTTAATAAATAAAATGAGTGTTTACAAAGATTCAAAAATTATAAGACAAAATATATATATAGAAGTTATAAAGGAATCACTATTCATTACGCAAAATTGTATGAAAAAGTTGACCTGTTTTTGTCTTTTTATGGAGCTGTTTTTGGAGACACTTTATCTTCATAATCTAAGCTTTTCAGATAAAAAAGAATTTTCTAAATTAGTTTATAAATAACAGAGTTATGAGATAACAAATATAAAAAAATACAACCGAATTGGAAACCTCATTTATTTTTAAAGTCGTTTGGAAAGTAAAATAAAACTAAAATGTGTAGAAACCAATAGAGTTAAAATTTTTTTACATTTAATCCAATCGTGAATATCAACAGAAGAACTAAAATGGCCGATAGCTTGCCTGCACACAGTCTTGGTAATTAATGGATGCAAATAGAACTAGATAAAATGTGAGGAAAACTTATGTACTACAGCGAATGATAGAAAAACTATAGTATATATATATATATATATATATATATATATATATATATATATATATATATATATATATATATATTTTTTACGTGTAGTAATAATTTTGTAATAGTTCTACGTATAGGAATTAACAAATAAGATGTATTGCTTCAGATGAATTTAGAAACCCTTTTTTTGAAGAATTATTTTTAAAATATATTTCGTATAAAACCTTAATATTAATCAGAGCATGAATAAGTGATTTATTAATGTAACGAATTCTGTCACATGATATTACTTTTAGAATTTTTTAACTTAAAAGGTATTAGTATATTAGCTAGATCTCGCCTCTAATGCTAACCTAATCGCTTTACCATGTATATATTTAACTTAAGGCTTTACACCGGAGCTCGTATAAATTTATTTCCAAGGGAGAAGGTAAATTTATACCTGTGTAACACGTGTAATTATTTGTCCTGACCGCAGGAATCGTACATAGGACCCAACAATTAATTATCATTACTCACTAACCTTGACTTGCCTTAAGAAGTGAATACGAGTATATACTTACATAGTATGAAGTTTAGTTAACTTTTTTTATTTAAGACAAACAGACAGCTACATATAACAATACGTAATTACACACTTAAATAGAAATTTAACAGCCACTAAAATTTGCATAAATGTATAATACGAATGAAGGAAACACAAAATTAAACAATACTATTGAAATCTACAGCAACTAAATAATAAAGCTCAGATGTTAACAAAGCCTAACAATTATCCTTCTTTTAAGAGGATACCAAAACTTTCCAAGACGTTACAACATTAGTTACAGGCGTTACGGTGTAATATATAGTATAAAATTTCAATAATAATTTGAAAAAATTTCAATATTTTCGATTGATTTTATTTAAAAAGTCCTATCAAGGAAGTTTCTTGCATTATTAACATTTTAGTTCGCTAATAAAGTATTTTTTGAATAATCGATCTAAAATACGGAAAATTATTGATTTATTTTTGTAAACTCGCAGATAATTCTAACGTTACTATACTAGCAGTATTTAATATGAACGTATTACCTATAGTAATGAAACGAAACATATTTCTTTAAAAACATAAATAAAAATAGACAAAAAAATTTACACTTTCATACTAACTTGGTAATTGGGAGGTACAAAATTTAAATTGGTCATTAATAATACCTATCTATCTTTATAATTTTTATAGTATACTCTCTGACCCCGCAGACGTTGTACTTTTATGCCCCGTAATACCATCTACTGGGTTGATTTTTTCTTAAAAAATTTCATTACAATTGATCAAGTTGTTTCAAATATTGATGTGAACGTGCATCGTGACACGAAATTTTAATATATAACTACTAAATTTATTAAAGAAAATGAGATCAGATCCTAAAAATCTGCACGAAAACTTTACTGTACCATTTTGGACTCTATTGGTTTTTATTACAAGCGAATTTTACTTTAATCAATAAGTACATCTACAAACGGGTCGATCTGCATAATATTCTTGAACACACAGTGAAGTGATATTTAGGTCAAATGAAGTGCTACTTCGTAATAGTTGACATTGTTCCTTTAAGTGGAAGCATTCCGTTATAATTAGATGTCAAGACCCTTTATCCTTATAGTTTGCTAAGTACTCGTAGCACAAAGCTATACAACTAAAGTCAAAATCGTCGTGAAATTCTGATTTAGTAAAATAAAAAAATAAATAAATTACAATTCAGTGAAACATAAACAACAACTAAATCATTTAATATTCTGTACCTCAAAACAAACAGACTAGCTTGACAAAATTCCCATGCATCCTTTTTTTAAATTTAACCAATAAATATCTAAACATATATATATATATATATATATATATATATATATATATATATATATATACTTAAAATCATTCGTTTGGGTACACTTCGGATTTCATGAATCAGATTCAATGTTTTCACATATATTAGATTTCACATTTTTTAATAAAGAAGGAAATAAACGATGAAGCTCATCACGGCTCATCATCACCGCCATCTATGTACAATCACAATATAGAAAGAAATACATGTGCATCGCCTATCTCTAATTAGATATAAATACTCTTATTTAATTTCGATTACAATATTGTATCTTATCGACAATACTGACACTGTAAAATAATCTTATAGTGCGACCATGCATGTAAAAAGACCCTGAAAATATTCAGTATAGAAAATAAACAACTGATCCAGGTGGTTGAAACTTAATAACTGTTGCCATTCAAAATGATTCTTCAGAGTATTCTCTATGACATTTGTATGTGAAAGAAACTACAAAAAGATGCAACTATATTGTTGTACCTTGACCAATGAGGTAAATGTTATGACGATAGTACTTTGATTTAATGTTTCAATGATTATTATATGGCATTCGTATGGCATACAGTAGAACGAGACAGGGCATTTTACGTTAGTTATACAGTATTATCGTCGTGTAAGGAGTATTGTTCGTACCAACACAAGTCCAAGCGACATACCGACACAATTATAACGGCTCGCATAATACTACCCTACGAATTTTTGATAATTCTATTTGCGCGGTTGAAATGACACTTCTACGTGATTCCTGGAGAGAAACACTGTTACTTATTGTATTACGTTCTTATATACTACATTTGTAAGATTTTCCAAATATCGAAGATTAAACTATAACTGCATCAACCAGAGTTGTTATTTAAGTCGCATCTAACAAGTATAAAAAGTAATTCTTTATCCTGTAGATAGAACGTTATGTAATACATATACATATAACAATGAAAATTGGAATGTACAAATGATAGAAACTTCTCCTTAAATAATTAAACTGTAACACCATGTGCGTAACTCATCAATATATATCTTGACATTGAACTATCGTATATCATGTACAAGCCAACTAATTGTCTGGACTAAGACAATCGTCATGTGGAACATGTCAGTTGACTCGTAGACACTGTTAGAAAATCATTTGGTTTCTACATCTGTGATTCTATAAATTTTGCTATATTATTTAATGTAATAAATTGTATTTATGTCAATTAAGTAATATACTGACAATAAAAATAAAGTGATAAAACTATAATAGAAAGGGTGTCCCACTAAGCAATATTTTAGGACCTTTCCAGAATATAAAGCAATTTATTTATTTGACACGTGTCAAACTATTTGAAAATAAATCTTTTCCACAAAATTACGTCATAACACATAACAATAACATCTACCATTGTTATATGTACTTGTAGACTGGTATTAAAAATAATCCGAACTGAACAATTAATCATCGTCTTCCTGACCTTTTCCCATATCTATTTGGGGTTGGTGTAACATGTTTTCCTCTTCCATTCATCTCTAATGAGAGATGGTTTTGGCTTTATAGCGATTTTGGCTTTATCATTATCAATTATCGTAAAAAATATTTTTATAAATTAATTAAAATTCATGTAATCTATAACGTTCGAAATTAATATTTTAATATACAGTATTCTTAGTGAAGAACCTAAAAATCATGAGGTCGATTTTATTAATGTGTGTAATGATAAAAACAGTTGGAGTGCTAAGTAAAGATTTGAGTGAAAGTGAAAGGTCTGCCAGAGCATCATTTATCCAAAGACTGTTGAATAAACAAAAGTACTTGGAAGGAAGGATTAAGCTTATTGGAGGACCTACGAAATTTGAAGGTATGGTATAAAACGATATCTTATGACAACTGAAATACATAAACATTAAGGCGTGAATTTACTGGGTACAGAGGAATAACACCTGAGTCCTCAGGAATGGCAATGCATAGGGGGTATCATGGGTGAAACAGTATACTCTGTTATGTCCATGGTACTGCTCATGTCTATAGGCGACGGTTACCACTTTCCATCAGGTGGGCCGTCAGCTTGTTTGCCATTCTAAGTTGTATAAAAAAAAAACATTGTCAGTGTCTTCAAAGATTAGCTGTTTCCTGCATCATTAAAAACACTAAATGAATAATTTAATATATTTTTATAATGTTTTTTCCTATATAGTTGCTGCTACTATTAAATATATACGTTTCATTATCCCTACAACATACATATATATCATTGAAAATAGTGGAAGCTCGTAATATGAAACAGTTGCTTCTGTACTGGATATGAGTCAGTGGAATATTAAAAAGTCTAAAGTGACAGTAAGAGTATGTATAAACTAAACTAGCGACCCACCCCGGTTTCGCATCAGAGCACTATTTGTTTGTGTAATTTTTAAACTATTCAACACATTTTAGTAAGGCTAGTACTTTAGTGTGTGTGAAAGTATTTCATTAATATTCCCTAAGATTTTAAAATAAACGGGCTATTTAACAATTTTATGTGCGCGCGTTTATACAGTTACTCTTACGCCCCTCACATCCGCACTGTGCCTATTATACTCGCGCAGCCACCACCAATGTCCACGCAAGAATTTTACTGACTTATTGTTTTTATTTCATTTTATTTTCTGACCAACTGTATCAATTAATAATTTGTAAAAAGAAAACTTTATCTCCATGAAATTTGCATATTGATTTAGCTATTTGTTTTTATGAGAATTTTTAAAGTATACGTTAAACCTGTATCCAAACTTAATCTTGTAAAATTTATTTAACTTTCAACATAAAAAACATTTTTTTGTTAAAATATTAAACTTAAGTCTATGATGTCGAGGACTTTATATATTTTTATCGTAGATTCTATTTATTTCAGACATTTCAAACCGTTCAGGCAGCGCACGCAATATTATATATTTTTTTCGACTTCGATTACATTTATAGTAATCCACTGTTGAAAATACATATTTAGCAAAATAAAAAGTAGCCTGAAGCATTCTGGGGTAATATACCTTTCTAACAGTGAAAGAATTTTAAAAAACGGATCACTAGTACATATAAATAAATAAAAAAAAAATTATGTAACAAAATTTTTCTAGGTAACGTTTACATTTACCACGCTGGCCGGTGGGGTGCAGTCTGCGACGATTCTTGGGATAACGCCGCTGCCCAAGTTGTTTGTCGTAACTTCAACAAAACTGGGATAGCAACTCATGGTGGACAATATGGTGAAGCTAAACGTATGTAATACTTATGTGTCTTAAATTTCTATCTAGTATGTATTTCTAATTCTAATGTGTCTATGGATACCTTAAGAAACAATCGCGAAACCAATACGGATCTATATATAAAACCTATATTACTAAAGGATCGATACTTTACTTTTTTTGTGAAATTTAGAATGACAAACAAGTAGTTAACCCATCTAATGGAAATAGGCAACCATCGCCTATAAACATGAACAATACCAGAACATCACAGTGGGTATCACAGTGTACTCTGTGATACCCAAAGTACGTCCACGCGTTTCCATTCGTGAACACTATGGTGTTATAGCGCTGTACCCTATAATTTCATTGCTATATACCACCCTTCAAACTAAAACACAGCGTTTAAAGATTTAAATAAATAAATAAAGCACAGCTATGTCAAAACGCTTGTTTGCCAGCTTCATTGTATAAAAAATGTCTATCTGAATAACAATGATTTCTATTTGCTTTTTTTTAGCAATTATTAATAGCTTTTTGATTATGTAGATTGATTAATTAATTAATCAATTAGACAGTTGTCAAGTCATGAACAAAACAGTACGATGACGTTATTTGCTCACTGTGAAGCCGCTCCTATCATGACCAACGTTTTTTGAGTGATATGTCATTTTTAATTTAATTTAATTATGATAATGCTATTTCCTATATGATAAGCGGTCCCATACAGGTTGTAGGTTTGATCGTTCCTTTAAAAATTAACAAGTAAGAAATAAAAAATCAAATTTATTTCAGGAAAATATTGGATGGATGATGTAGTTTGTGAAGGAGATGAACAATCTCTTTCACATTGCATTTTTTCTGGCTGGGGATCATCAGATTGCGAAGCCAGTGAGGTTGCTGGCGTTATTTGTGGAATTGAAAACGAACCTCAAAGTTTCATTAAAAAGAAACGGCCTAGTAAAATGATACATGAAGTTTTGGATATTAAGAGTGCAAGTTTGAGGCTCACTGGAGGAAGAAATAATCGAGAAGGTCGAGTGGAGGTAAGTTACTTTTTAGTTACTCTACAAAATATGTGTACATTATTAATTTTTCTATAAGATTAATATGTATAATATATACACCATATAAACCATGAGGTCCCGGTATAGCATGGGCAAGGGATGGCCCATGCTATACCTTAAGGGATGGCCCTTTCCTGTAGGTGTCATAAGAATATATAACATATGAATAATAATATAACATTCCATAGTCATATATTCTATATATAAATTTAATTGACGAATGATGGGTCAGTGTCACTTTTAAAACATCATCAAAACCAAACTGCGGTTGTCAACCTATCTGTCAAGTATGGCAACTAGTGGTAAAATTCCCATAATGGCAAACTTCCGTAAGGAACAGCCCCGTTCCTCATGACAGTCTGTGGGGAAGGCCTATGTTTAGCAGTGGACAGATAAAGGCTGATATAATAATGATGATTATGATAATGATGGTGAGAAACATGTATGTTATGTAAATATTAAGTAATATTAAATGTATAGTAAGGATACGTTCATTAGTACACATTTCTCTATCTCAGCCTACTCCATTAGGGACCGGAATATAATAATATGAGCATACAATATAACGGAGAGGATATAACGATCTAAAATTCAGCGAATATATTCCAAATGGACAAACACAAAACTTAGCCATCAAATATGTATTTCAGATATATTACAACGGTGCTTGGGGGAGCATCTGTCCTGATGGCTGGACGCTATACGAAGCACTGGCAGTTTGCCATCACTTAGCCTTAGGCTACGCGGAACAGGCCGTACAAAGTGACTATTTTGGGAACTCAACGATAGTACTCAGCGGAGTACAATGCCAGGGGAATGAGAGTAATCTATTTATGTGTAAACATCAAGAGTATGGAGCTGTTGTATGCCCTGGTGAAGTTGGTGTGTTAATTTTCATTTTTAATCGACTTCTAAAAAGAAGGATTTCCTATTACACGTAATTAAAAAAAAAAATGCTGAAAAGATCGAATGAAATGTGAATAAGTTACAAGCAACTCGTAATAAATAGATTTTTTTTAAATATTAATTAAATCCCATTTTCGTAAAAAAAGCTTTGATTAATATTTTTTTCTCGGCACTATCAGTAGATATTACCCATAGATATTATGTCAAAATTTAATTAAACCTTGTATTTTTATAAAATTAGCATACATTAACTTTCTCGTCACGAAGTTTCTCTTTGGAAAAGTTTTTGGCAAAAGTTTTGTCAAGTGCTTAGTCAGCTAAGCTAAGTAATTAATTAATATTTTATAAGTATGTCCATAATAAATACTATATATTAAAGTTTTCTTCATGAATACACTGCAGATCTAGATCATTATACACCTAGATGGAGGTTGAATGTCAAAAAACTTCTAGTGAGACTACTTACTGTCTTACGCATATTTATTTTTTAAACAAATTTGCCGCGCCATTTGTCAATGTTACTCGTAATAATTATAATATTTTACTATTCACGTGCATACTTATAAATCGTATTCTACGATTAATAGTATAATATTACACTGTTACCTTAATTAATTGCCTTGCTTATTCCCTATAATTTATAATGCAAATAAAGTATACTCATTCATTCAAATATATTTTATTATTTTTAAACAATAAAAAACAGCTTCATATTGCTAGCGACTCGCCCTGACTACGTACATTTTTTTTAAATTAAATGCAACCCTTGTTACTCGCTGATAATGTAACTTTGTAGTGGTGATTTTTTAAACCGATTTAGCATTATTTTTCTTATTTACCACAAACCTATTAATTATTAATTTAACTGAAACATTTCATTATTACAATTTCAATCTACTACTAATTTATACATAAATTGTTCCAGGTCACGTCGCAGGAGTGATATGTACCAATCATTTAGCCGACTTAGCTCTAGACGTGGTAGCTATAGAACGGACTGCTCACCTTCAGGATGTCCCCATGTACCAGCTCCAGTGTGCTATGGAAGAAAACTGCTTGAGCAAGACTGCTTATGAGGTAAATTACATAAATGATAATAGCATGTGTAAATAATAAAAATATCTTGAATTTAATAAAAGTATTTTAAAAAATATTAGGTATATAAACGGTATAATAAAGTTTCTTCTAGGAGTTACAAAACAGTGTTAATATTATATTTTTTAATAAGCGATAATTTTACTAAAATACCTAGAGATCTCGATTTAGATTTATTTAATTCTATGATAGAATTCGCAAGACATGTGCTGAGTCACTGATTCTTTGATAATTCATCTTTGAAAGTGTGATTTCAACTCTTTGTTTTGCATAATTGCCTACCTATGTTTGTACTATTATAATGTTGTTACTCTGAGTGTAATTTAGTTGATTGTAAGTATTAGCGATGTCATGTGCATTTATTTATTATATATATTTATTTGTAAAAACCTGTATTTGGCTTTTGTCTTCATTGTTTTTTTTTTAATATGAAATTATCTAACTGTTGGTTTTTAATAAAAAAATAAAATAAATATAAATCCAAATTTTACATATGCTTAATTTAAATAATCAAGAAATGTTTGTCAATATTTCTCCCTTCGTTAAGACTTTTAAAAGCATTCTGTTTAGAGAGCTTAGATAAACCTAAAATTGTCTCGTAGCTTTATTGTTTTTGCTCAGTCAAAAGCTTTCAGACTTGTTGACTTTGTATAAACTTTAAAATGCTTACACGAAACGCCTAATTACAGTTAGATATATTCGAAACACGTTCTATGTGTCTATTTTTAAAACAATTGGTAAAAATAAAAGGATATTTTATCTTTAAAAATACGCTTGGGTAGAACACAAATGCGTTGCCTGCCTTCCAAATTAAAAGTTTATTTTAAAAGAAATATATTAAAAATATGAAATTAAAATTTTGCACATATAAACAATTTACAAAAAAAAAATCAAACAACAAATATTATAACACAGATTAAAAAAACCAACCCAGACTGGCAATTTGAGACTAGAAGATTACTCCGGTTCACAGCATCATCGTTGAACATTGGTAATGAAGAATTCAGGCCCTATCTTCCAAAGCATTTATGGCAGTGGCACCTCTGTCATATGTAAGTTACCGAAATACATATATAACTTAAAATAGTTTACAAATTAGTTTGTTTATTACCATCCAAAGGTTGCCTGAAAGAGATTGCTTTTAGCGATAAGGTCGCCCGTTGTTTTCTCATTGTGATTATTTCACGTAATTGTTTATATCTAGAATAAGTTTACTATTGTAATCTTTTAGAGGAAACATCTATCTATCTATCTCCTCTTAGTGCTTTAGTGAGGTACTCGTAGTAATTAAGCTAGAGAATAACATAAATTACTTTTTATTCTAGTTAATCTATATATCCCGGTCACGCAGACGAAGTCATTGATACCGACTAGTTAACTGGTGATTTACAACAAAGGTTCTTCAAAATCTACTGCAAGCACCAGTCTCTCACAAAATTGGTCTTACATATCAAATTTTACCTTAAGTTGTCACTTTATACTAACTACCTTTTGTGAAGAGAAAATAAATCATTCATTTCTCCATTCATTTAATTTTTATATCTACAAATATATGAAAAGACTTTTGAAAGCAAGCTTTTGTTTTCGTCAAAAAGTTTAGCTCTAGACCAAATTCTGATTGTTACAATTACAAGTACATATAATATTTGTTTCGAAGGGAACTACCCTTCGAAACAAATATTATATGTACTTTTATATAATTAATTTTGGGAATATATAATAAACGCAATGTTTGTTCCTCACGTATTAATCTAAACAATAATGAAGAGATTATCCAGGACTGACATTTCTCGGGCAATTACCCGAAAAGCGGGAATTTTAATGTACAGAATGGCGTTTCCAGAATGGTACTCCCAGTAAGGAGTACGTTTCGCTTTCAACCTATTTAATTCATATTTATGAAGTTTAAAAATTCTAGATTTATAAATAAAGTACACCTATAAGCTCAGTCCCATGTATCAAAATCTTTTGAAAACATGATTCATGAGTAATGTTTTTTCCATCCTAAACATGAACTCTTCGGAATTGCCAAGGTTTGATGTCAAAATAATTACTTCTTATTTATTTATAATAATATATAATAAATCAGAAGTGTCCGTTTGAATACGCTAATCTCTGGAATTAATTAAGTAATTTTAAATATTCTTTTTGCATTTAATATTTCATTTCTTAAGAAAGGTTGTAAACTATTCAACAGCAAGATATGAATACGGGAAAAGTCGCGGAATACAGCTAGTTTGTTTATAAGATGTGTACATTTGTAAATAAAAACAAAAACAGTTCTGTGTTAGAAATAATTTACGCCATTTATACAAGTTGTCAACATCCAAACAATTTTCTGTTTATATAGTGTATGTAATTATTGTATTACAGATCGCAGACGGCACTTTCCATACGCCTTTCCCTAGACTATAGGAATGTCTTTTGTTTTAATCTAGACTATTCTAGACATTCCAAGCTATTATCATGAACATTTACTGTGAGTGACAGATAAAGGTGCCTTTCAAATCTCACAAAGTAAATTTGTTCACTGAAAACAATGTCATAATTTCTTACTACCAAATGAAAACATTCATTTCATTTCAGTTTATGTTTTAATGTTTAAAATTATTTGATGTTAGTACATGTGTATTAATTAAGTGATATACATTTTCTATGGTACCTAGATGACAGAGCTCTGCTAATAATAAATTAGCAATATAATTAAGAGATGAAAAAACCAGCAATAGCACGAAAACTTAATTGTAATTTTTAAGTCAGGTTTGTGTTTGTTACGAACTCGACTTAAAAATAATAAGAAAAAGTTATTATACTTTTACTCCATAATCAGTAATCTATAATCGAAATTTAGAAAATAGAAAAAGTGAAAGTCATTATAAAACACATTTTTGTAATGATGAATAGAGAAATTTTGTGAGAATATATTTATGGATGGATGTTTGTAATTCTTTCAAGCAAAAATTACTAAACGGACTTCAATGAAATTTAGTTCAATTAATTATTTCGTTTTATATCCTAACTAAAAATACAGGATACTTTAGACATTGATTTACGCGGATCATGCCGCGGGATATAACTAATACGAGTTATTTATACATTATTGAGAGTTCTAAATGGTTTTTAGGAAACTAATAAAATATTTAAAATTCATTTCAGGCATTACCATAGTATGGAGGTATTTGCAACTTTCGATGTCTTGGATGCGACCGGCAGAAGAATTGCCGAGGGCCATAAGGCATCATTCTGCTTAGAAGACAATACTTGCATGCCAGGAGTTGAAAGAAAATTCTCATGTAAAAACTATGGAGATCAAGGTATGAAGACATTATCTCGTTTCAGTTTAAAACTATTTTTTATTTAAATATGTACTCCTTTGCAAAAAATCTGTCAATTCCAAACTCGAATACACTGAGGATTAGATACATATATAAAATAATCCATAAATAGATTTTTTCTGAAGGAAATATTTGGATTATTTATGTATAAATAATACTTATACTGTTATTTCAATTAGGATTTCTTTGTTTTAGGCCAAAATTGTGAATATACATTTAAACCGAACCACATACATCGTTCTATTTTTCTTTAACATTCACCTTTATAAACTGTAATGTCACCGTCGTATGTCACCTGACCATAATAATATACGTGTATACTAAATTTCATACCGATAACTTTTTATGTGTTATCAGCCATAACCGGTTAGGCGCTAAAAAGTAACATACACAAAAACAAAAGAGTATATTCCTTCTTAAAAGGCATGTTTCCGGTCTTTTATTACAAAAATTTGAAATAGCAAAATCTTGTGAGTAGGATTCATATGTGTAGATGTTAAGCAGATTTAAATTAAATTTAGTACAAGAATAGGTTATATATATAACTTAAAACATAGGTTACTTTATATACAAAAAAAAAGAGCATATCCTTTCCTAAAAGGACGGCAACATACCTACAATTTTTCTGATAAAATCTGCTAAAAAATTTTGATAAAAAAAACTAATCAACAAACTTAGTAAGCTTCATGCTCTCTATGCTATAAAAAAAAACTGACCAACAAATTTACATTTACTTCTATAATATTAAATACTTACTTATCACTTCACAGTTACTAGCGTCAAATTATATATTTATAGTCTCCAAGATACAGGTCTAGCCTAGTTTGGGGACTGATGGTAATGCAGATATTTCCTCGTTGAATATAATTGTAAAAAATTATAAATTGTACCTTATGCAACTGTATCTTTCTTAAATAAATATTATTGTTTTTTTTTTTATCATCATAAAAAAATATGTTATACTTTTTTCCAGGAGTTTCTGTAAATTGCTCTGACATCTACCAATACAATATTGACTGCCAATGGGTAGATGTAACTGACATCCAACCAGGAGAATATACTTTCAAGGTAATCATTGTCGTTGTTTTAATGACATCCATGGCACAGTTGCTATGCGTAAATGAGGTTCCGAGTTCGATTCCCGGTCTGATCAATCAACTTATCTGAATCTGTTTTGTCAACTTTTCATTTGACATTATGCCCTAAGCAATGTAGCCTTTTGTCATGGTTCCTATCAACCATTAGCTGTCCACTAGTGAACATAGGCCTCCCTAATAAAGGGACTTTGTCAGTAGTTGCCACGCTTGGCATGCGGGTTGACAACCACAGTTGAAGCCTAACTGGTGATGTTTAAAAAGGGGCGCTGCTACCCTCGATCATGAAGTTACCTTGGTCGCTTCTTACGATACCCATGGGAAAAGAAGGGGTAGCCCATTCTATCCAAATTCAATGACACATTTATCCTTTAGTTGGTATGATATTATTATTATTATAAATGGACAATTTACATTATTAATTATATAATACAGGTGGCTGTGAATCCTCATGCTAGAGTAGCAGAACAGCAGTATCATAACAATGCGGCATCCTGCTCCCTCAGACTCACTGACTCGTACGCGTCAGTGTATGGATGTATACTTCAAAGACCTTAGAAGAAAAATGGAACACGGAACAGATATCTGACGCAAATGATATATATGACGCAAATATTGACAAGCCCATATAGCCTAAAATTTCAATACTAACTTATACAGACATCAGGCTTTTCAATGAATAATACTATAAATCCAAGTTTATTACTAACTGGCAATTCCAGGTTGTACCTAACTGAGATCAGACAACCCTTGTTTTTACATTCTTCACAGCATTTCAATTTAAATGTTAAATTGTTTTGCTTAAAAGATTTATATACACAATTCGTCATAAAAAAATATTTATACTTTACTAAAGATAATAACAGCCATTTGCCACTGGACTACTCGGTTTATTTTCTCTTATTAGATAAAGATGGCACGGTGTACCCGCCTATGCTAACAGTATACAACGGCAGGGCGCCAGTAGAGGACGAAAGGTTGATAATAAAGTCAAGTCACGTGACTCATCATGGCGAATACAAACGGTATTAACCACGATGCTTTCTAAAGTGGATCTCATGTAGATCGAACTGACATGGTATATTGTCCGCAAATGGCAACCTCTATAGTGTTCACTAATAACTGTCGTGAGTCATACTGTATCATAATTATTTATGTAAGCTTTACTCACGTTTTTAAAATCAGAGATGTCCGACTAGTTTCGAAGTCAATAGGGGCCTATAGTCATAAGCGCGATTCGCAGCTGTGTCGCGAGCTGCATTGCGCAATCAGCACGTTGCTTGTAGCTGCGCGTGTGCGGTCGATAGCAGTGATAGTGGCGGTGGAGTCAATTCCTATTAAGTTCGAAACTAGTCAAGCATCCCCGAATTTAAGACGTAAGTGAATTCCCTAGTCCTCATTACTAACAATCCTTTCCCACCTGCACACCCCGATTGCATTTCATTACATTTATACTCGTTTTTCATTTAGTTCATTAAAAATCCTACTACTTGCAGAAATCAGTAGCGAGATCTTAGGCTAATAAACAAAATAAATAACTATAGAACACAAACCTATTCATTATTAATCTGACCATTATTGTACAAATGTACCAGTTTAACACACTTCCTCACTTCCTGATGGTTGTTGGCTCGATTCCATCACAATATAATCTTTTATATTCATATAAGCACCTATTCAATATTATGAATTCAACAAATGGACATATCAACGTCTATTTTACATTTATATATTTGTTATGGCAACAATTAAACGGCAAACAGTAATAATTTCCATTATGTTAAATAGATAATATCTATTGTGAGTTATATTGAATTATAATTAGAAAATTAATCAAAAATAAATACTTAAGCAAAGCGAATATTAATAATTTATTGTTATTCATATTTATTATTAAATGAAAATTGCAAACTGAAGAAAAAAATGTATTATTTACTTGTGACACTTTCTGTACAATCGTTTGATCATAAACTAAGCTTAATTCTTTACGAACCTATCTTATCATTACAGTATCCCTTTATTATTCGTAGCTCTAGAGTTCTTTTTTTTTCTAGGGAATACCATTTTCCTAAATATTGGGAGCCAATTACACTTCGCTATTGGGATACCATAGTAAGACTTTATATAAAAGTCATCTGTATGTATACTTCTGCATTTTGGCATAAAGTAGCAATGCTTATATGACTGTGTATCGGTTGAAAAAGTATATAGGATGTGGCATTGAAATTACAGATAAATAAACAAATATACCTAAAAAACTAGCTGCGATTATTTAGTATTTTTCATATTTTCAACATCATCATCATGTCAGCCGATAACTGTCCACTGGTGAACATAAGCCTTCCCCAGAAGGGGAGTTTTGCCAGTAGTTGCCTCGCTTGACAGACGGGTTACCAAACGGAGTTAGGCTTTGGTGATATTTTAAAAGGGACGCTGATACCCATCCCTTGACTATTAAGTTTCCTTAGTGACCTCTTACGACACCTACTGGAAAGGAAGTGGTGGTCTATTCTATACTGGAACCACACGGCAGGAACAGCACAGCCTGAAGTTACAGAGTACGGAGACATAATAACTTAGTCCTCGGAAATAGCAACGTATAAAAGATATAATGCATATGACAGTAAACTTCATCATGACCATATTATTCTTGTCTTTGCGACGGTTTTTACTTTCCAACAAGTGGGCTATTAACTTGTTTATTATTTCAAGTTCCATAAAAAAATCTTTAATAGATAATTATTATATAAATGTGGACTATATATACGTATATCATATATAATTACAAAATCTATATATTGGACCAATAACCATATATAATATTGAAATAAAGAATCCAATAGGAATAATATAGATATATGACCGGTATGAACGATATCTTAATAGATGATATTTTTCATCTATGTATTGAGTTTCTCTCGACATTGATCTACATATTGATATCAAAGCGGTACCAATATTACCTACGCCTAATTATACATATACAGCTTTTTACGTAAATCGTAATAGTCAAATATCCAAATAACATTACTATGTTATAGTAAAACCACAAAATAGTTAATATTACCTACAAATACAGAAGACACATTGCCCTCGTGGAAGACACTTGTTACGGAAACACAATATTATGTGAGATCGTTAAAATTAATTCAGTCCAAACTATTTTGTACCTTATACCCTAATACGGAACGGTCATATTGTATTGACAAAAGTACCAATACTAGCTCAGTGCCGTCATCCGGCGATTTTCTGTAGATAATATATTGACTTACCAAACCCGGGGAGTGAACCAGCCCTGATAAAACTTAACCGGAATACTGGAAATGTTTGGATAACTTGTTTAAAATTGTCTTATGATAAAATATTCTTTGGCTTTACTCCCTGCAATAGACCATATAACAAAAATTCGAAAAAGTATTTATTAGTATATATAGTATAATATATGTATGTATATTCATATATTGAACATAAGGCTCCCTTTGGGGAGTTTTGTCAGTCATTGCCACGCTTGGCAGACAGATTGGCAACCGTAATTAGGCTTTAGAGATGTGTTAAAAGGGACGCTGTTGCCCATCCTTCGCCCTTCCTAAGTTCTCTATTGACACCCACGGGAAAAGAAAAGGAGGCCTATTCTATGTCGGGACCACATTGTAATTAGTAAATTATTTATAAATATTTAAGTACTATTACAACATAAAACCAACAATATGAACATGTACATAAAATTACTATAAAAATGTATACACAATAAATAATCTAAAAATTTAATTTGTGATCATAAAATAAATATAAAAAACAAATATAATTTGAAACTAACAAGCAGTCAAAATAATGTTCACGTTTCGACCCTACCCAAAAGTTCTCATAACGCTTGCAGCGCTTCCACGTTGGATTGCCAGACATATCCCTTGAGCCAGATACGAACCGGAACGGCGATCGTGGCCACTATCCACAATGCGTTGACCTAACTCCTTTATAAAAGATTTCACTTCCACTCTCCACACACCAGTAGTCTCAAAAGCAAGGGGGACAAATAAATAAGTTGATTTGAAAATCTTGTAGTCTAATTAATTCTATAATATTTCTAAAATCACTAATTTTATAATAAATATAATATTGTACTTAGCTTGTAACAGTAGTACTTATTTATATAATTTTAATAATTTGCAATTAATAAGAAATTAATTAAATTTAATTAGTGTCTCGCCTATTATATATAGTTATACCTACTCCAATAAATAAGCATATATACATATATAGTATACAGGTCAATAAACAATGGTTATTGGAAAATTATAATTTACATATTTATTTGTAAGTTTACATTTGCATACTTAATTATCGTAATCTAAAATAATTTAAATAAATTTCGCCTACGTCTATACTTCAGATGACGAATAGAATTATTTGTATCATACCTATTCTTGCAATAACTTCAATAACAAACCATTGAAGCGATTCCGTAATTATTATATTAAATTTGTAATTTTAATTACAATTATAAAATACCTAGAAAATTTATATTTTATTCAATGTTTTATTCATTTCCAGAAATCTTTGAATGTTAATATAAAAATAAAAAATGTTAATCCTATAAAGTTTTATCACCCACCGTTATCTACCTGTTCCATTTTTACTTAACGGGATCAAAACTTCAAATTTTTCAGTGGGTGAAAATGGAATAGTAACCCTGTCTGCGCCGTTAGTATATGCTGGCGAGGCACCAATGAGAGATGATAGGTAAAGATGAAAGCAGGTTAATTGGCTCATCATGACCAATTGGACACAAATTAACCACGATGATTTCTAGAAGGGTACATCATTTCTACCTACCCTAATGGAAGGCAGGCGTGACAAATATGTATGTATGTATTGTTAAATCCCATTACTAAAAATCCCTTATCCCCCTATCTCTCAAGCTCAAGCAAATACTCAGATAATATGCATTTATAAAATTGCATTAAAATAAGTCAAGCAGTTTCACATGAACAAAAATTGTAAACACGAAAATTTTATATATTTAGATGTAATGTACTATACTCGTATATATGCTTGTAATAATAAACTTAAGAATAACATGGGTTTACAATATATTTTGAAACGTTTAAAGTGGCAATAAAATTGCAGGATACAGAGACATAACACCTTAGTCCTCAGAAATGGCAACGCATAAGGGGTATCACAGGTGACACAGTATACTCTGTTAAGTCCATGGTACTGTTCACGTCTATAGACGACAGTTACCACTTTCCATCAGGTGGGCAGTCAACATGTTTGCCATTCTAAGGTATATAAAAAATCTAGGAGTAAATAAAGTATACTTGTTAAAATAATGAAAAAAAAACCTGTCATTTACATAATATTTATTGGCACACCTTATTTTATACTATCACTATATCACAACGAAGAAATAAATGTAATTGAGCACGACATTTTGTTGTTTTACAATCAAATTATTACATAATTACACTTATATGATATACGTCAAATATTTTTAATTAAAACAATTAAAAAAAGCATAACCTATCGATTGTCAATTTTACACATGTAGTGCAAAATTGTCAATGATCTAATAAACCCCTTATTTATAGATATTTTTTTTTATAAAAGGAACCAAAATATAATAAATATCCACCTTTACCATAATATTCTGTAATTTATATAATTATCACATAACAATTTATTATAAATTGTAAAAAAAAATTGTATTTTTTTTTTACAATTTATAATATATTATTATATATATATTTCTTGCATTAAAATGTTGTAGTTTTAAGTTAAATTACAATTCAAATTTAATCATAAATACCATGCAGATATATACAAAAATCTAAAATAATATCTTGTCATGTATTTATATACGAAACATAGTTTTCCAACAAATCTTTGTACTTTTACTCCTTGTAAATTTTATTCTGATCATGTGTCTTTAATTTGGTCACAATAAATATAACAAACCATTTACCGCATTAACCAACTTAATACATAAAGTAAAAAAAAATATTTGACAGTCTAAACAATTATAATACTTGACCTGCAGTAAACTAGCAATTACTTCACGGCAAATATGTTTAAATACAGTCCTATTTTAAATACATAATACACGGCTTTATTATTATATAAAATGTAAAAACAAAGAAATTATTTTAGCAAACCAATGAAATTTTTTTTTATATCTAAAAGCTGAAATTTCTTTTGTACATCGTAAATCCATAAAATTTATCATTATCTCTAAAATGTCTATAATATATGTCACCAATTGCCATAGATAGCCAGTTTGAGAAAGACAGACACTGAATATACTAGAGATATTAACCCTTGACAACTGTTAATTTATTATATAATGATCTTTTTATTATTTATTGTACTAACATTTTGAGGTACATTATCTATTTAGCTAGTCATTGTCTTATTCAAAATTCAAATATTTTAGTTATCAAAATTTAAACTTTACAAAGTTACTTTATTGTATTATTTTTCAAAACTGATGAAGTTATTTAGCCGATCGTTACACACGCTAAACCAGATTATAGAATAGAGTGGTTCAACTGAGTAGAGCGAGTCAAAAAAGCTATTACCGATCCTTTTACCAAACTATAATACAGTTAATTTTAATCTGCGACCAATATCGCAAGTGTAGATATTAAAGCTCTATGACAATATTTTCTTTGTTTAAAATAATAACTTGATATATACTCTCAGAATTAATTTGTGTGTTATGAGTTTAGAATGGTTTAAATATTGAATTTAATTACCCATTTCTTACTTATATTTTGCTTTAAAAATATTTCATAAAAATAATATATTAAGCTTCAAAAGAATTTATTTCCATACTAAACGTGTCGCAATGCATTATAATTACCAACACGTATACCATTAAGTGCTCGGTACTACATCCTTTTAACAGACAAAATATAGGTACTTAAGTATAAACAGTTCATTTAGGTTAGAGAATAATTAAGGTATTACATTAAACTCACATTAATTTGCTACAATCTTCCTCTTACATTGAAAAGGTAAGATGCAGCTAGCAATTAGTTACACCTTTTCCCGCCAAAAAAAGTTACGTTTTTCCTTCCTTCCATTTGGTTTTAACTAATTTTATTTATAATTGATAATGTAATGTAAGATTATATTAAAAATCCCTTCAACCTTTTTATAATTTTGTATCTGTTCCATAATTCCTTAAAAATGGCAACTCAAATAGCCATTTCGAAATCTTAGTGAAATTTTGTTACTAGTTGTTTTTAAAATGTTTTGATATTTTTTAGTGAATACAAAATGTATATATTATTGAATAATCTTACCTAGTTTTAAAACAAAATTTACATATTCTTTTTTTATTTTGTTTATTTGTGTAACTACATATGTATGTGTATTCGGATGTATATAAATGTGTATGTATATGTGTTTATATATTTAAGTAAATATATGGATTTATTTAAGCACGTATCAATAAGTTAAAATGTGCATTTATATATTAACATTATTGTACGTATTATATCGCCACATATAAAAAGTATGATTAAATCTTCTTTTATTAGAAAATTAATGCTCGTTCCTAGTCTGACGTCATAATATTGCCTGAAAATAATGCTAGACTATGTGTATTAAATCTAGCATGGCCCAGCGAACGGTATAATGTTAAACCAACTATTATTGATGCAAATCTGCCTCCTATGCACGGGTTGTATAATATAATCAAGGCTAGATTTCTTGTATATATAAATCTAGTGCTGGCAATTTCGTTCCTATTTTAGTCGTTCGAACAGTTAGGGGAACTTTACGAAACTCCAGCAATTTCGATGCTCTGGTCTTGAGCGCAAATGACAGTCTAGCGTGCATAGTTTTGACATTAAGAGTTTATATACTGAAAATGGTTATTTTAGGATTACGCAGTGGTAAATATAGCTAATACATAAATAATCTGTCGTATAAAATTAACTGTAACTTCTTGTAAGTAAATTATCAGTAATACAAAATATTATTTTAAGTTACCATTCTGAGAGCTCAATCAATATTTACGTCGTCACTTTAGTAAGCTTAAATTGTAATATGTATTTATAATAGTAAATTATTATTATATCTTGTAGCTTTACGTAACCACGCATAGGATCCGATTCTAAAATGTCAACTTTAAAAACTCACAATTTTAATAAATATTTGTTCTTAAACAGTCACTATATTAAATGTACGTCTCATTAAGTTTTATTAGAAATATACAACATACAGAATGTAATTTTATAATCGGCTCCATTATTTGTAATAAATTTAATAATTAAAATAAAAGATTAAAGTCCCTATTAAAATTGAAAGTAATGTCTTTCACTTTGGATTAAAAAAGAATATTTATATATAAGATTATCACCCTTTCTTGAACTTAAGAAGCAAGATACTCGTTGTCAAATATACCACGATCCATATACTTGTAGAAATGAATCCAGAGTAAACTGATGGAATTTCTATGGACCACCCACGTTGAAGCATGGAACGGAGAGATTCTGTCGATTTAGTGAGTGGCAGGAAGAAGCTGATCCATTGCAAAAGTATATGCATTGCTGGAAAAAATAATTATATTTTATAATTAAAATATGAATAATATATTATAATGTTTTATTTCAAATTCTATAATAAATACGTATAAATTAATTTTCGAATACTTTATACAATAATGAAGAAATTTACAAACAAAAAAAATGAAAAATAGGTACTACATATCATGGCAAAAGTAAATTTGTCAATACAAAAACAATCGTAAAAATATTTATTAATCCCAAATATCTGTGTAGTTTTTATCTCACCTTCTATTGGCCAGATGATGCCACATAAAAGAACCATGGGCAGAAAAGATCCCAATGCCATGTAAGTCGCTGTTCTGTCAGTGTCACATAAACAAGAAACTAAGAAACCTGAAATGAAAAATAAAAATGTCATAATGTTTAAAAAAAATATCATACAATTTTACTGAGCACTCGAGCAATGTTTAAAAATAATAATTCAATTTCTATTAATATTTATACGTATAAATATCCCGTGTTGTTACAAAGTTAGATACTACTCTGAAATGCAGTAGCAGTATGAATACTGCCACATAAATGAATAATAATTACCACTGAGTATCTTATTATTAGTACAGACCCCGAACTAAGCGCAAGTTGTGCTTTAGACACAAGTCAACAGATTTATATACATTATACACACTATTACATAAAAACATCCAGATCAATACAAACAAACAAATATTTATATTTTGCGGGAACTGAACACACAAAGAATTTAAATGAGGCAATGTATTAAACCACTACACCATGACCGGTTAATGCCGCGCAAACACAAATTTAAAAAACTAAATGTTTTTAAACCCTTTTAAGTTCTGGATATATTTTCTCTGTTCCTTCGTTAAAATAAACTTTCAACAAAAGAACATATTCCTTTTTTAAAAGACAAACAGCACACCTGCAATTCCTTCGGTGTTACGGGTACTTTTGGGTGGCGCTATTGCCATGACTATTCAGATATCATCTGATGAGGCGTATGCCCGTTTGCCTTCGAACTAAAAAAATTTACTTACCAAAAGTCATCCCGCATAGACCAGTCATAATGACCAGTAATGAGATCCAACCGAGAGGTCCATTCTGACTGAGTCCAAATAGAGCGAAGCTGATCAACATCACCATGATAGACTGGATTGCCATCACGAAAATTTGCACAGTCACGTGAGAGAATAGTATCTCAGTACCTGTAGACAAAAATATGATTTTATTAGACTCGTTGTCTTGTGTTTTTAAAACGTTGTTCTCCCGTGTCACTTCGTCGTTCACACTAATCTCCAAAATCGTTGGATCAATTTTAAATCAAATTAAGTAAATTGTTTGTTCCAACTTAACTGCCTATAAGATACAAATCAACATTCGCTGGATCAGCTATACTCGCGAATTGCTGTTGTGAAAAACAACAACGCTCGACGTGCTCTCATTCTGCTGAGCATATTAGCATCCAACGTGGCAGAGAGATTAATTTCGTTTGCTATTGCTACTTGCCATCACCGGTGACTGAACCGAAAACTTAAATTATCATACATTTATAAATATATAACATAAAGAAATATTTTCTACGTAGAGTATGATAAAAAATAAATCAAGTTTTATAGCCATCGAAACCATTTATAACAATATATTTTTGTTTTAAAAACCCCAAAGAGCATTTATCATCATCATCATCATCAGCCTTTGACTATGCACTGCTGAACATAAGCTCCCCTTGCGGGGGGTCTATTCTATGCCGAAACCACACACCCAAAAAGCATTACCCTCTAAATATTTGACGTTTATTCGCAATCGGGTAATAACTGGAAGCGATATATCGTGAGTTTCTCACCGTCCATCAGGTGGACGTTCTCCTACTACAGGAGACCTTCCTCAAGCCTTCAACACGCGGTCCAAGAATCGCAAACTACAATATCGTACGCAATGACCGCATCAGTCGCGGCGCGGTACGTTAATTTATTACGAAGGCGGCATTCCGATCGACACGCCTCCGTTAAACATTTATTACCTATATAGCATCATCATCATCATAAAATGATACCTACAACTTAAACTCAAATATATACAGCAACTAATCCTAGTTTGAATGCCAAATGTGATTTTGATTTCTAACACAAAATTAGTGTCAAGCAAAGTTCAAATGATTGACAAATAATAATATTACATCTGACATCTTTGAATCAGTTTGCCACGAGATGGAGCTTAGAATCAATAAACAGATAGGTAGTAGTAGCAAAAATATTTGGTCCGTTTATTTTTCATACGATGTATGGTGCTTGCATTATTTTTATTTGTATAGACGAATCTATTTATTCTTGACGTGTGATCGATAGGTATATGACTACGCCATAAGGAGTAAAAAGTTTTCAAGGTTAATGTATATGAATTTTTTCATATTGTATTATTTTATCACAACTTCTAAATACCTAAATACTGTTTTTTTTAGCGTCTGGGACAAAGTCTGGCACAGCGGCTTGATTTTCAAACTGCACAAGATGGGAGTACAGACAGGCTCTCGTGCACATCATACGAGCCTTCTTGTCCAATAGGTCATATCGCTATCGCGTCAATGGAGTGCGTTCCAGCGCACGACCGAAAGCCGGCGTCCCTCAAGGCGCTGTCCTCTCCCCCACCCTCTTCTCGTTGTACACCAACGACATCCCGCGTCAGCCCCGAGATGCTGAACAATGTCTCATACATTTATCGGTATGAGACATTGTTAGAATCTTTTAAATCCAAACAACAACAAAAAATTATTTCCAACTGACACTGGCTACGTTAATTTTTTTTTAATAAATTCAATATGGCGATTATTTAGCGCTCCTTTCAAATGTGAATAAAATTTTTTGGCAGAACAATTGAATTTTTATATTTAATTATAATTATAGATACACGCATATATAAATATTCCTTTTGCTACAATTGCAAGATTTTCAAAAATACCCGGCTGTTCTCACACAATCGGTGCGGATAAATGCGTGTTTTGGCAAGAATATGTTTCTTTTGTTTACTGCACTATTACGTCTCGGGGGTATATTATCAAAACTATAGGTAAAACTTTTTATTATACATACAATTGCTATCGAACCTTTACAACTCATGGAGCTTAAAACTTTCTTTAAGAGTATACCCCACGGACGTATCGTATCAACAGCAAATGACGTAAAAATAGAAGTCCTATTCACAATGAAACAACAAAAGCTGATTATGGATAAATATTTAACTGTAATACGTTTTACATGAAAAAATTAAAGACGGGATAAGAAAATTAAAACGCTCGTCACGTTGCGAATATTATCGAAACTAATTTATTTTACAAGCCCCGACGTCATTTATCTAGTTCTTGCTTACTTACTAAGATTAAAGACTTTAGTCCATAGACTTGTGATCGCAGATCTATCACCGGATGATGTCAAAATTCTGTTGCTTATTATGAATTATATTTTTACTTTACCAAAATACCAAGAATTATATTCTAATTCTAAACGAATTCATCACTAATGTAACAGTTATTTAATATTTTCATATAATTTCGTATTCTACTTGTAATTTGTTTATAACTCGAAAATAACTTAACGCAATAATTTATATCTGTAACTTGTACTTCGCAATCCATTCACGTGGCTTAGGTGTGTATATCGTGACAAATATAACCATGCTAATATTATCTCTTCTCATGCCCCAGTTATCATAAGAGGCTACGAAAGGGATACTACATTTAACCAAAAAGCCGAGAAGAGGTCGGCTAAAGGTATAAGGAAAGAGGCTAAAACATAATACAGAGTACAAAAAAAGGAAATTTGTAACACAATTCGATATAAAACTGTTTTGCTACAGTGATAATATTTTTCTATGGGAAAACACTTATCAAATAATGGAACGATTTATAAGTTAAAATTAGATAAATATTTTTCTTACAAACAAACATATCCTTCATTCTTACTCTAAATCACTAATTAAAATTTTAAAATTGGTAGAGATCAGTTTTAGCGATAGAGCTATTTATTTGTATTCTCTTTTATTTTTTTATAACCATTTACATTAAAATATTATTGAGACTTGATAATAAAAAATATTTTTTATACCATAAACTTGTACAAAGCGTACAGCACGTCAGATGTTAAACGGGTACCGTAACCTATGAACGCAACACTAGGGATGTCACGTGCGCGAAATTTTTTTTTTTTCTAAACCAGAAAGTATTGATTTATTCCACAGCTCCGTTACTGTGAAACAGCGGTCACGCTATATTCATATTACGTCACTTGCCACTTCACGCTTTTTCAGCGGATACCCGTCCCTAGACGCTGGTCCTTTAATGTAAGGCGGCCGGGATGTCTATAAGTAGTATCGGAAATTAGGGCTCGACATTCTCGAAGGGCCAACGACGTGTCATCGCTACTTTATAATGTTGTTAACGTAACAATTTATATTTTTTTATTAATCAAAATAGAGATTTTATTGTTAAAAATTTCGTAATCACATATTACATTTAGTTGAAGAGGCTACTAGGTTGATTTACGTATATTTTTGTCACTCTGATACGGGATGGTCCCAAAACTGATTTTTTAAACAAATTTTTTTTTGACGAGTATTTTAGACCAAAATACAATTAATTTAATCCAGTTACTCCATTTCTCTTAATATGTAATTGCATTTAATACAAATAATCTGTGATTACTCAACGTTGAATTAAAATTTAATTAAATTCCAACCAATTCGTTTATAATAAAAAAAAATTGAAAATAATGAACATTATCTTTACTTACCAGTAATACCAGAGACAAGAGACCTCTCAAGTATACCCTCGTTTCGTTCAGCTAACATGGCGCCTGATGTCAAAGCCACAGCCAAGAAGTAAATAATTCTGTAAAGTGAATATATAGTTATTATTTCCTTGGAGAATTCTATTTTATTATAAAGATATCTAATAACTTTCCATGCCTGGTCCTTACTGATATTAAAATTGTATTGTACAAAAAAACCGACCTTAATTGTGACAAGACAAATGAAATTTCTGTGCAACCAATATGTAAGTACATATATCCTATGAAATAAAGAGAAATTTCCAAATCGGTTTACAACTGACAAAGTTATGAAGTAACAAACATGAAAAAAATACAATCTAATTAATGTCGGTTGAAAATATTAAGCATCAAATACAAAAATGTACATAGAAATTTCAAAGTGATAGTGTTTATGATATTGAACATTTTTCACGGAGCGTAAGAAGTTGAAACAAACTTAGTACTAAATCAATCACATGATCGCGCAGGTGGTTATGATAGATACTTTTTACTACACCGATATTAGACGACCTTATTTGAATCCTTGGAAAAAACTGTTATTTATTTATTAACCTTTCTGTTACAAACTGCATGTACTTATAAATCAAATATGTCATTTAAAAAAAAAAATAGAATCGTGTTTCTGCTACCAAACAACTCTACTTGAATAATTACAAGGAACGGAGCCATAACACCTTAGTCCTGAGGAATGGTGACACATAAATAGTAACATGGGCATTGCTAGAAAATTTCATTTATTTTTTCATCATAAAAAGTGACTATAAATGACGGTTAAATAAAAAAATCGCCTATTAAAATTAACTGGAACGCCTTTATTTTCAATGAAAAATAAAAGAATTTTTAATTTCATACAATAAAAAATTAATTAAAGGATTCGTGCTTAAGGACATAATTTTTTAATAAAAAATAATGCGTTTCCGCAACCCTGGACTAAGTTAATTTTAATGTTATAAATTACACCGAGTACGCCTAATCCCGTAGATTGTTGTTCTCGTAAAATCTCGCCTTGTGTTGTTCTTGTTATTTTTCGGTTATGATCGTTTCTCTAATTTTTTGTTGACATAATATCTATCTATAATAAAACTTTATTACAATATCCTTCGTATCCTACTATCTCACTAAATGTTGTATCAATCACTAACTATCCACTGCTAAACAGCCTTTTCTATAAGAGGGGTTTTGACAGTACTACTACTACTTGTACTTGTTGCCATACTTGGCAGGCGGGTTGGCAACCACAGTTTAGCTTTTGGAGATGTTTTAAGAGGGACGCTGCTGCCCATCTCTCCACCACAAGCTCTGGGTGACTAAGGAGTCACCTCTCACGACACCTACGGGAAAAGAAGGTGTGGCCTATTCTATGCCGGGACCTACAAGGCGATCTTACTAATTAATATAATTAAATATTAAAATTTCTAAAGATATTGAAATGTTAATTATTTTCTCTGCATTGAGTTGGCTGAAAGAGATCTCTTTTAAAGATAAACCCTTGCTAACAAGTTGTTAAACTAATCGCTGTATCGTATATATGTATATACTAACTACAAACACTAACTCTCCAATGTTAAATGATGTAAAATGTTCGTGCGATTTTTAAAACATTTTCTATCATACAAACATTGTCCTAACACACACAAAACACAACAAAAAATAGCTAACTAAATAAGTGCAGTCGTTCTTAAGAGATAAACCTACGTACATTTAACGATTGATTTTAATTTATGTATGTAAATTAACATGTACAAGATACTTTGTTGCTTGTTTCACGTGGGAAAAAAATTCAATACACGGGTTACAGTAATTTAATTTAATGGTTTTTATCTAATTTACAAGGGATCTTATTGGAATGAGATCCCTGCTGGAATCGTATATAAAATGCCTTTATTAATGTAAAATTGAATCACTTTTTTGTTATAAAGTACTAAATAAAAACCATGTCCCGGATTATTAAAAAAGATATATTAATGACTATAATCCTTAATCGGATAGTCAGAGGCATTTGTCGACTGTTGCCATTGTGGTAAACGTAACACTCATCGTGCCAACATTTGGAGCACATTAGAAACCAACGTGGTTGGGGACAATCCGTTATTCATATCAATTTGGTTTTTTGTCAGTATTTGCCGTTACCAGAAAATGTTAATTTTTATCCTGAGTTATTTTCATTTTGAAATATGTTACAATGGAGTGATTCACAATCGGAGAGTATTTACTTGTTGAAATATGTTTACCTACTTAGGTAAAGTACTTTATAAGAATAAATACTATGCGTATCATAAAACATAATTTGATATTTTCTGTCAAGTCCAAAAAATAACCTACACACTAATTAGCAAACAAATAGATGCTAATTCTATTATTATGTACTCATATATTAAACATAAACATATTTAAATTCTCACTTACGTCAATATAACTCCGGGCGCAGCGAAATCTGTAAAATCTGAGTCCGTAACACCGTATATGGGATCGTGGAACTGAAACAATACATTCCATGGTAAATTATCAAATATAAGTTATATTTAACAATATGTGATTATTGACATTAGTAGAAAATTTTATACCTTTTTTCTTAATACCCTCTACCCAAAGGTTGTCTGAAAGAGATTAGTTTTTTATGATACTGACAAAGGTATACAAGGCCTTTTATATCACCTCACCTTAATTATTTACTGTATTTCTTATTTTTGTAACCAATGCCAATATAAATGCGTTTAAACTGAATTGCAATAAGATATTGCCTTATTGCTAAAAACAATGTTTTCTAAACAACTTGTGAGCAATAGAATTTGTATTAAAAACAGATAAACATATATACAGTGTAAATTGTGTACAATATATTTTACAACACTTATATATGCTAATGAAACAAATATAATAGTATTTTGTAGATATGTTTTTTGTTAATATTACTTAATCTCTGCATCTGGATAAGATTGCTTATCAGTAAAATATGCACCTTGAATTTCATGTTTATTCAGTACTCATCAATCAAGTATGTATTATACAAATTAATCTAAATTGCTAATATATGAAATTGCAGTAAAGATAAAATTCGCCGTAGAGGGCAGCGTAGAGCCAATTTTACCTTTTGCATAATTATAGAATTTGTAAAGAATTAAATATCAATAAATCACGGTCTTTCCAAAAAAAAAATAAACTTAACATCCTTGGTTGGTGTTTAGTTTAAACATTTTAAGTTTCATAATTGGTAAAAGAAATCAATCGTAAGTTTGAAAATATTCTACCAGGGGAAGACTTTGTACAAAAGTCGATTACTTGGGTACCTCTGTCCCATTCGTGCTTCAACCGTGAAGCAGTTGTGTTTGAGTAGCTGTGTTTCGGTTTGAAGGATGGAATATGGCGTGAATTTACAGGGTACAGAGGAATGACATCTAGGTCCTCAGAAATGGCAACGCATAGGGGGGTATCATAAGCGAAACAGTGTATTCTGTTGTGTCCATGGTACTGCTCATGTTTATAGGCGACGGTTGCCACTTTCCATCAGGTGGGCCGTCAGCTTGTTTGCCATTCTAAGTTTTATAAAAAAAATTCCTAAAAAAGAACAATCAATTAAATTATTCAGTTACATTAATTACAAAAATTATTTGTTATACAGTTAAGCAGTTATTTTACCCATTTTATAAAACTCAATCTGGTCTGTTTCGCTCGAAGGCTTTTATATATTTATTGTAAGTAAATAAAAACATCGACCTTAGTACGAAGACTAAACCTCGAAAACCGAGTTTGGTTCACTCTAACCAACAAAAGGGAAGCCTTCTTGTCTAACTATCGATAGTTAGATAAAGAGCTCAAATTATATTTGCAGCTATAATTGGGATTCAAACTAAACCATCATGTCTAATGATGCAAAGTTCGATCTGTTGGCTTTCATGTCTGATGATTCACCTAACATATTCTGTAGTTATACCTAGCTAGAACATTTTTTTTAACTAAAATAGTAACAATAGGATGTTTTAATAAATTAGAATTTTAGATCCTAAATTTTGTCAACAAACTTAACCGTATGTTGAAAGATATAAGGTTTAGTTTCATTCATTTTCGTGTTAGGCAGTGGAACGTAATTGAATCGCAAAGCGAACACACGAACACTATTTTGTAAAAAAAAACATAAACAATGCCAAAACAAAGGGGATTTTTAACTTGTATTTTTCCTCTGGACCGTTTCATTTAGAGTTGTATCGTCGGAAACAAATAAGCACAGTCAGCATAGTTTAGCCGAAAAAGGGTCGTTGTTTACAAAGTCGATTGCCACGTACATGAAAATAGTAAAAGACAATGGGCTGTATCAAGAGTTCTCTATCTTATTTGTACACGTTCTACAACTTTTATATATTATGAATCTTCAGTATACTAATAACGAATCCAATATAAAGCCAAGATAAATCCCCTTCAATAGTTTATCAGAATATTATTGTCTACATATTTATCTCTTTGATCAATGGAAATGATAATCGTAATAATCTATTTTTCTATTTACATTGGTCACAAACACACGATATAATCAAAAACGAAAAGCTCTAATGAGACTGCTTTCAGACCAGTGTTGCCAAGGCAATGAAACTAAAAATACTAAATGATTTAATAAAAAATACTAAAAAGCGTGTATTAACAGATCTCATTTTATGGTTAAGACTTGTTACATTTTATCAAAAGCTAACCAACTTAGCAATACTACATTTTAGGATAATCGTGCGTCATAGGTTGGATAATGCGGTTTATCAAACAACCTTGAAATGTCGTTAAATATTTTCGATATTTTTTGTTGTGATCTCCGACTGATCGTTTGACTTAAGTATCGAATGGCGAATTGTTTTGATTATCTCTATGCATTTTTAAGACATTTATCTTTGATAATTAATAAAATAATTTATTTATTACAATGAATGACTGATGAATAATGCGAATACAAAATAAAAAAACTTACATGAACAGGCAGCGAAAATATCCTCGATGGTAATTGGCAGACCTCGGCCAAACGATCCACGGTTTCAGCGAATGCCAAACTAAGATCTTTCGATAGTATCCATTCCATTTGCTTATCTGTTGACAAAAAATTGTAAATCAAACAGATGGAACTTAAAAGTTCCGTATTGAAACTTTAGCATTACCTGTAAAATTTCAAACATAAATTAACAATTCAAAATTAATATTGTAATGACTATAATAAAAGCCTTTAGACTAAAGACGTATCAAGCACTCATGTCGTTAAACACATCACGTAGTATCATCTAACAAACAAAATTTAACTACAGGCTGAGCTACAGGTTCAATTTACCTTCGGAAATTGAACCATTTAGGGTTTACATCATCAAATAATTCGTCACCCTGTTAGTTATCTAAAAGTGATGTTCACCACTTTCTATCAGGTGGTCTTGTATAAAAATATTAATCATATATCACATAAACATAAATCATAACATAATATTGATATGTATATATCATTAAACATAAGAATTTTCTCATATTTTGTTTTCGATATCTCCAATTACTTTTTACAAGTAAATACCAAAAATTACAACGATAATGTTCCACACTCCGGTCATTTTGTCAAATTAAGTAATCACTTTGTCAAATCAATGAGTATTCTACTATACTTAAAAAAAAATACTGTTCTTAAAACGACTTCGAACATGAACGCATTAATTAACGACAAGATGTTTCATAGATGCACTACAACAACGTGTTTCGTAAAGAATGTAGAGTAATTCATAAATACTGCTCATTAACACCATGCATCTTGCATCGCAACTAGCAATTTTTTACTTCACAAAGGAAAATAACGATTTCGATCGTTACAAAATTCTGAAGATTGCAAAAAAATAATCTTGTAACATAATCGCAAAAAATTCAAAAAAATTAAAACCCTCCTTCTTTTAAAAATCACTTAAAAAAGATATTTGAAACTCTGTTTAATCTACAAAAAAATGTTCTCGACGTTAGTATATATATATTTTTTTATATCAGAGATTTAGCTTTGATACAAATCCTCTAATATAATCTAAAGCCATTACATATTTTAGATTATAAAAATTTATTTCATTACACTCGAACAACTATATACGAGTACAAGTATTATTACATTATCAGTATCTTTTTTTAATTAGAATCCTTCATAACTTATTAACTATACTAGAAATACATTAAAATAATAAAAGATAATAATTTTCACAAGTAAATAAATCTTCTGTTAGTATATTTTTAAAAAGAGTTGCTATATATGTTATAAAAATACTGTTGCTTTTTTTAGTAATTTGCTATAGAGATAGACCGAATGGAATTTTCATATTGTTGCCCTTAAAGAAAGATAATAATTAAAATAAGAAATATAGAGAGTGTAATGTTATTATATACAACAGTGGTGTTACGTTTGTTTTTCTTAAGCGTAACAGGATACAAAGCCCTCAAAATGAGGCAATAAAAATAGTTGGACTTCCTTGTTCAAAGGTATAAATACACTCTTGAACCATTTATAAATATCTAATTCTTATACACTAATTTTATAGACTATGGTATGTAAATTTCGTAAGTAGTTATTATTTTGCTGAACTTTAAATTAATTGGTAGTTGAAATTAAAAGATGGTATGTTCATTCTAAGTTTGAACGTATTTACATACCGATAAAATTTTCCAGCTTTTAAAATAATCATTTGGTTACATTTTAAAATGTTTCATTGCTCACATTGTGGAATCTCATAAATCTAAACCCTTTGCTAACTTAAAGTTTATTGCAAAAACGATTCTCACGAAAGTCGAAAAAAAAATTATATGACAAATGCCTATAAATTAATTCCTTCTTATTTGATACGTGAAACTTACTGTAACGGCCGGATTATAGTTTACCAAGCATTTTAATCTAACGAGGCAGGAAAATAGTCAAATTTATTTATGATTCTCACGATATTTTTTTATTGTTGATAAAGTTTTTCATCAAAGTTAATTTATTCAGTTATTAAAATCGAGATCTAAGTGAACCTGTACTCGTGACCTTCTTGTAACTTAAAGTTATAAACATAAACCACAAATATTTACGTTATGTTACGAATAAACAGAGGAGCTTTACCGTTTCAAGTAAGTTAAAAAAGAAATTTTATATAATCGGTTCAGATAAAAAAGGAGGAAACAGTTTAATTTAATCACCAGCAATTTATTATTAATGGGCTCCGCGGCTATCCCCACAAATGCAATTTACCAAATTCCGATAATATGGGAAAGCTAAAATTTGAATTATATTTGATAATTTGTCACATCCATTATCAAAATTGACTAAAATTTACATTAACATAATTATGTAGCAATTATTCTAAATATTATGTTAGCACAAAGCTGACCTAATTTTGTCTATTAAAAATGGAGTTACCCTGTTGGTCAAAATAGTGACACTGGGCTTTAATATCTATATCAATGGCAGATAGCAAAATCTAAATTAAAAAAAAAAACTTTAAATAAATAAATAATTTATATAATTATTTCTTTTATTTATTCTTAATTTAATTGATATATACAATCAATACAATCTATGGTAGATTGTGGTGTTGGTTTCTGAAATTTGATTACGTCTGAATGTGAAATGAAATTGGTCAAAATGACCATTTTCATTTTATATACATATATATATATATATATATATATATATATATGTATATATATATATATAACAATGAGACACAACACAAAAGATATACCTACTCCTACTTTAGTTTATTCTAAACCAAACAAAGGACTGAACTATAGAAAAGTAATTCTAAATCAATTCTGTGTTTCGAATCGTAACTGCTAATTTCCAATTGCGAGAATGTTATACAAAACTGAACTTAACTCCGCATATTTACAATCCAAAATCAAATGGGGGTGAGTGTAAAAATCATCAAAGGCCTGATCATTACGATTGCCCCTCTGGTCGCATAAATCTAATTTAAATGCAAATGATGGGGAAATCTGCCTTCCATCTATTTCACTGAGACGGAACTTAATTTATGTACGTAATTTACACGGTGTGTGTGCATCAAATATTATCAAAGATCAATTAAAATATCCCATCAAAGGCATCAACATGAATAATTATTATATTTGAACAAAAACAAAATCAATAATTACTTGAATTATACAAAAATTTAACAATACGTCGCTAGATATATCACAAAAAATAAACAAATAAAAATCTATTAACATTAATATTAAAGTTTTATGATAATCTATCATGATAAAATCATGAATGCTTGACTTTGTATATATATTTAAGAATTTTACTGAAATAGATTCCTAATTGTCCTGTGGAAGAGCCAAATGTTCTGTGACTCATGAATATACTCACACCGAAACATAACCATACAAGCACAGTGCTTAATGTCAGAAACATGAATGAGACCCATACAGATGACTTTTATACAGTCACCCTCTGATAATTTTACTAAGTGTAGTCCATCCAACTAATGTGTACTTTCCCACCTTTTGTAATCAACTCCGTGGTTTTGTGTAAAAATGTAAAAAATGTAAGCTTCGTAACATTGTTTTTTATTGTTATTTGAATCGCAGATAACTTTTTTTACGAATTATATTTATTTTATGATTAAAAACTTTGTAACATTTTGCCCATAAAATAAAACTAATTGCATTTTTGTTACTTTAACTCAAAAGCTTAAAAAACTGTAAATCTAAATAATATAAACACTAATATCGAATAAATTTAAAATATTTTTTTTTAAGATGTTTAGAATGGCATATAAGCTGACAGCTTGCCTGATGGAAAAACCGTCATCTCTAGACATAAACAGCATTACAGGTATGGCAAAATACTCTACAATGCCCAGGGTATGCTAATTTTTAAGTTATTTATGTTTAATTAAGATTTAATATTAGTTGGCTACTTGGTGCAATCGCAAATAAATAGGAAAAAGCAAGAGAATAATAATAAAGTTTTATTTCATAGAGAGAATCCTGTCAATTTGTTATGAAATACATTAGAGTTTTTGTTTCACAAAAATTCAGTAACGGCAAAAAATTTTGATCCTCGAATACTCTCTTTTCAGCTATACCGTGTTAGAATGGGTGGCTTAACATTGTCGTTTTTTAATACCAAGTTCCAGTGGCAGGGAGTGCCCTTAAAAGGATTGTAAAAATTTTAATCTATATACTAGTAAATGTCAAATGTATTAAATTAAGATTAGTAATGAAATCGTTGTAATAAATCTTTTAAATATAACTAAATTGTTACTAGGCAGATGATATCTGTACATGGAAGATATTTAACTACAACTTACGACTATGTACCTATGGTATTATTTTAAGTGTTCCATAGTACACAAAAAGTTGTGAGATAAATAAATAAACATTATTATTATTAAAAAAAAAAAAAGTTCAATAGATGCTTAAAACAATATTTTTTTGAAAATCTGTATGTTTACTTTTGGTATTACGCAAAAACTACTACACCAAATTATAAACGATATTCATAACTGTTTCCGAAAAATTACCTTAAATTTTACGCCTTCTAGAAGGGGTTTTCCTACTTCTAAAATTCAAACACCTACAAAGTAGCAAATGAATTACTTAGAATAAATCTGTAGAGAAGTCAATTCTGTACATGAAATATATTTCCAAAATAACTATCAGGGGGTGATTAGTGATCGATACTGATACCAAAAATGCAATCAATAAAATTTTTATCTGTCTGTTGTGTATGTTCATTATAGAAACAAAAACTGCTCGACAAATTTTAACGAAACTTGGTACAATTATTCTTCATGCTCCTGGGCAAGTTATAGTATACTTTTCATCACGCTACGATGAATAGGAGCAGAGCAGTGAAGGGAAATGTTAAAAATGTCCACCCGTGCGACGCCGGAACGGGCCGCTAGTTAGTAAATAAAAATCTCTAAAAAATAAACTTACTCGTATCGTCCAAGTGTACATCTATGACAGAGTTGTCTATGGTGAAAGAGTCAGCATGCCGAGGATCCGTCATTCTGTCCTGTAGACTCTCAGTAAAGTTCTTGGGTATGACAATTACAATTTTGGCGTTTCCTTTACGCGCGTCACTCATTGCAGATTCTTCTGTTGGATAATATATCTGTAAAAGAATATATTCATAACTACCTACGAAATATCGTGCACACAATACAAGTAATAACTTGTATACATAACCTTATATATTTGTATATGATGTCTGTACTTGGTAAATATTTAAGAAAAAATTAAGTGTCTTAATTAATAATAATAAAATAATGTATATTTTTTAATTCTGTATATGAGGCAAAATCTAGTTCTTTAAATTCGACACAGTATTCCTATTATATTCTAGAAGGTCGAACTCAAAATCTGAAATACGCATACGCCATGTAGAAGTGGTATATTTCATTAACCTTCCTACTTCCAAAACGGAGAAAAATGCTATAAATATATAAAATATAAATAGAACTTTAGTCTAATTATAATTACAATACCCATGCAAATATAACATTATCTTGTACATAATAACTTGAAAAGAGTAACTGTTGAGTTTGTTGTGGGTTCTCGGGCAGACACATTCCATCCCGAACACAGCAATAAAATTATAAAAAAATGACCATTTAAAAAAGCTTGTAAAAAAGGTTATTTAAATAAAAATTATTTCTATTCTATTGATAACTTACACATTATTTTATTATATATATTAGGTAGGCTTTCTTATATTACATAACAAATGACATACATACGGCCACCTGATAGAAATAGATAACCGTTACCTACAGACAAAACAGCACTATGGCATCACAAAATACGCTCTAGTGACCATGGTCCCCTCATAATAAATAATATAAAAATAGGTAATAAAAAAAGAAATGTCAACGGAAACGGACGAAAATGGTTTCGTACGGACGTAACCGCATGATTTCCTTCTTTATATATGTATGTACGTATATTATATATACAAAAATATATCTGTGTGTTTTGTAAATAACGGTGTGTGGTTTGTGCCCCCAATTGTTCCTGGCCCAAATAACGTAAGACTAATGTGATTTGCTACAATATATCTATTTATTATTTATATATTTATTTTATCAATAAAATGTGTCATAAAAGCCGGACTTAATGCTATAGACATTCTTTACCAGTCAACCTTTAGGATATGCAGAGACACTCGATGGCGGTTTAAAAAATTAAAATTATTTATATTTCAGTATAAGATAGTCAATAACATATTAATATAGTATTTATATATTAATATCTACATACAAATATATATATGTACACATACAGACATATATAGAGAACTCGATAGATAAGACTGAATACTGTTCTTGAAGGCAAATTTATTAAATATCTATAAGATAATCCTATCAAATGTCTTTTAAATTTGCATTTTGCAACAATTTTTAGTCTTTTTTCTAAATAGTATAAAACGAAACCGTTTGTTTCTCTTCTTATTTTTTATAAACCAGACAATAGTGTTTTAATACGATTTTCACTGTCATTTACATATTATTTACAAAAGGTTTTTATGAACAATTGCCAACAAAGGCAGGTCACTGAACCCAATATATAAAAAAACCCATATTCAAAATACCAATTACATAGACAGTTCGTAGTACAAACTTCTGGAGTTAGTTTAAAATATATCGATGCAGGTGAGTAATAGGATGTTTTACTTAGTTTTACGATCCGTACTTAAATAGCCCGTAACTGTTGAAATCTTAAGTAATCACCTTAAGGTAGTAAATAAATCCATCTTCCCCAAGTTTGTATTCAATAAGAAAGTAGCACAGACTTAACAAATTAACTTAGTGTACGTTCTTATCAATATTATAAATGTTACCATAGGGAGACTTTGTACAAAAGTCGATTGCATGGGTAGAGGTACCCAAGCAATCCACTTTTGTACAATCCAAATTGTTTTGTCCCATTCGTGTTTCAATCGTAAAACAGTTGTGTTTGCATGACTGTGTTTCGGTTTGAAGAGTGAGATATGGCGTAAATTTGCTGGGTACGGAGAAATAACACCTGAGTCCTCAGGAATGGCAACGCATGAGGGTATCATGGGCGAAACAGTATATTCTGTTATGTCCATGGTACTGCTCATGTCTATAGGCGACGGTTACCATTTTCCATCAGGTAGGCCGTCAGCTTGTTTGCCATTCTAAGTTGAATAAAAAAAAAGTTAAAGTGAGTTTATATGTTACCTCATATAGTAGTACCTTAACAGCTTAACTAATTACTATGAAATTTAGTATACACATGCTATATGGCATGGAGAAGGTTATAGGATAGATAGGATTTATTCCAGTTATTGAATATATCACGATCATGCGGACACAGCCGCAGGTAGAAACCAGTAAATAAATTAATAAATTGATTGATACATATGCATGCCTGTAAGTACTAATAAACTATCAGATTATCTCATATTGGGTTCGCTGTAAGAAATCTATTTTAGAGATAAGCTCTAGTGTACTATTATTATAATTATTATTCTAATATGATACCTTTTTTGTACAATAAAGAATATGTGTTACAGAATTACACCAGTTATACAGTCCTTAACCTAGAATACTCTGAGTTATGAATAACTAAGTAATGAACAGAACATCTAAGGAAGCAACTCACAACAACCAAACCAGGACCACTTTATTAAAGTTATTTTCCTAAATTGACCTGATCAAGACTCGAACCCACACCTCGTGTACACAAAACAACGTGCCCATAAACGTAGAATAAACGTAAATGGAAAGCTATTCGGAAATCAGCGTTGGTATTCAAGAAACTGGACGACTTTTCTTGGAATATATTCAATAATATTTATATATTATTTGATGTACGTTTTTTACGTGTCAATTTACGGCACAAAATTAGACGCAATTGACTGTAAATTACTGCATTACAATTTTTATTTAGTCTTTCTAAATAAAATTTATATATATCATATAAGTTCTCTGTCAATAAATAAAAATAAGTTGCTGGTTATTTTGGATTGTGACCCTTGATGAATGTAGCCTGATTCCTTATAACATAGGGTATCCTAGCATGTGAACCAGGCAATTGGTGTGAAATTGTATTGTTGTGTTGAGCGTGATTATGTAGATGTCTAGATAAACCGTACAAGGTTTTAGATTCGAAATATAAATTTATAGAATAAATTATTTAAAATTTACTGCACTTACCAAATTGCTCTGCCGTTTCTTCAAAGCTTCCAAATAACGACAACTGAACAACGTCAGATTCCATTCATAAGATTCCTTGTCCTGTGGACATGCGTCCATGTTGTAGTCACACAGTGTCATATTGCTATTCGTTTCGTAGTCAACGACGGCAATCGGTAGTCCAACAGGGTAATGACCAACAGCGAGACAGAACAGAGTCATTTGTATAACCGGCAGACCAATAATGAAAGCGAGTACTCTGGAACAAGTTATGCATATATTGTAAGTATTAAGGGTAGTATAACTGGTTTATTCCCAAATTCGATTCTCAGACTGAGTCAAATATTCTAAATACGGCAAAGTCGAAATCAATAGCTTTCTTTAAATAAGCGTTCTACCAGTAACACTAAAATTTTTCTATAAGAAATATGTCTAAAAATGATAAAAAGTTATGGGCCTCTTATACACACACAATACGTCCAAGAGTCAAGTTAGGATAGCAGGCTCATTTTTCAACCCATGTCCCTCTGAGAGCAATGTTCAGTTTCACTAGTACAATATTCCCTTGAAAAGATATTAAATACCCTGTATTTTACAGACTTGGATCTCAGTTTAGCCCGATATGGTATTTCTTATTTTAATAATTCTTGTACTGTTTGCTAATCTGTATTGATAAAATTTATAATTGTAAAATTATACTTTGTCGAAAAAAACAACAGTTGAGTTTCTTAACCTGGCTACTCAACTGAAATTACATTTTGAATTTACAGTAAAATGTTAAAAAATTACTATCAGACATGCTTATCGTTAAATTTATTTAAATGAAAAATATTCTTCTTATTCTTATTTTAAACGTCGTCATGTTTATGTTAAAAGACGTCTTGACAGAGTTCCGTAGCTCAGCTTACATCAGCGACACCTAAACATCGCATACCTGTGACAATGTTGCATATTATTATTTTTAACTTACCCAAAATTTCTCACAAGGCTCAACGTATTCTTCCAAATGAGAGCCTTCATATGATGCCACTTCATTGGCTTGATTCTCTCCAAGCGGTTCAGAGCAGGCTCCTCGTCAGGGGGCAGGGCGTCGGCTGGTGTCAGTTCTGGAGTTACCACTACACGACCTTTGCTGCTCATGGACACGTTATCGCCGAATTCTCCGGAGATCTCGCCCATCTCACTTTCTTCTAAGTCTACGGCTGGATTCTGAAAGAATGCATTATTAAAATTCGCTTTCTATATTTATTATATGTATACAACAACTACAAAAGAAAAACCTGGCACATAGCTGAAACTGTTATATCTAGAAACCTCAAATGTTGCATAATGTACTTTGTCAATGAACAGCAAGAAAGAATTTTTTAAATTACATATATTCAAATAATTGGAAATTGGTTGAAGTTTTCAGATGAAATTCCGGGAAACAACAAATCATTTTATAAAATTACTTGTTTTTAAATTCAGGTAAGACTATATAAAAAAAATCTAAATCACTGAATATGTCATAAAATATGTAGATGTATAAGTAAATAACATGTTTTGTAAAGTCTCATAAAGACCAAAATTAATCTGTAAAAGTTGTGATGTTGATTCGAACAAACATACAGCCTGCAGTCAAACAGCCATAACCAAGTTGTAAGCATCTTTCTTTGGGCATTTAACTATGAAATTCTAAAATACAAGAAAATAAAATGTACTTATACAAGAGTAATTTCCTGAATGAAGGAATAAATTTGTCAAAATTAAAAACTTTTTTAAAGACTAGCGTTGTATGATTTTTTAGTATGGAAGTAACCACATTTAAATTTAATTAAATAATCACATTCAATTTATAAAATCTGTTTAGAATTGAGGTCGACATCAAATAATAGTTAAATAAATCTGTCGTTTTATAAAGTTATTTAAAAAAAATAGCAATATGTAATGCATTTGACTCCATGATAAATAAATATGTTAGTAAATATTCTAGAAAGGTTGTAATCTAATAGTTCGCTGTTTTCTTTTCTCTCTGTCAATCATGTCAACAAAAATATTATATTACCATAACTTTATTTCTACGTGACTGAGAAATGGCTCGCATATAACATAAGCAGATATGGTAAAAAGAAAATAGTTCCTCGTAACGTCTGATACGTTTTTATAAATAAATAAATATATTCGCAACTCTGTTTCATTTCAAAAACATAATATACAAGTATTTATTCTGATGTAGAAAAGGGGATTTTTATCCTATCCATGAAGGAGGTTATCCTTTATTTCAATTTTTTTTTTATGTATATACGATATTTTCATATTACACATAAAAAACATATTCACGAGTTATATTCTAATTTCAATGATTCACTTTAAAATCGGTAGAGTTTATTATAATATTTTAAAGGCATATTAATTTTGGCAAATTTCATTCGCTGTTTGTCAAAATCTATATTAAACGGACATTAAATTGTAAAACAATAAATACAGATAGACGACGTTATATCTGATGAAAGACTGACGATATATTGGCAATTGACTCTCTCTGCCTACCCTGCAAGGGACTTGATGTGAGAATAGACAGATAATATGCTCATAATTATCAATTTACTCTGTATTTGTATACTAAGTACCTCGTCTTCAAAAATTACCCGTCAGAATTCATACAGTAGAATTAAAATATGAAAACTCTTATTATAAGAATCACTTACTGGTATCCCAGGAAGTTCCACTTTATCCACCACATCAGCCAGGATACTGGAACGTCTTCTCTTGCCTCTGTTTTGTAGAACTGCTAGCTTTAGGAACACGTCTTCAAGACTCTCCCCCTGATAGCGACGGATGAGTTCCGATGGTGACTCTTCAGCTAAAAATCTACCTCCTCGCATCAGTCCAATCTACGGGGAAAAAACATATTTTCTGATATTCTTCAAAAAGAAGGAGATTTCCAATTCGGTTGTATTTTTTTATGTTTGTTATCTTTATAACTCTGTCAGTTGTAAACCGATTTGTAAAATTCTTTTTTATATGAAAGATTATACTTACAGATTCGTCCCATAGAAATTTTATCAAAATCGGTTTAGTAGTATAGTTTTTAATTCAAAATAATTAATTTTGTCACGATTGAAATCGGTGTTTTTTTTTTGTGGGACACAATCTTTAACTCCAAAAAATAATAAAAAAATATTTGGATGGTCCCGTACAAATATAACAAGTCTAAAAGCATATTTTGAACCAGCTATTTTAAGTCAGTAATAAAAACTTAAAAAAAGACCGAATGTATTTTTTTTTTATTTTTAGAAAGGCAAACAAGCTGACACTTATTGGAAAGCGGCTACTGTCACCCATGGAGAGGAGAAAGATTGTTTGTGATGGGGACGTTAATCCCCATTGCAATATACCCTGTCTGATCGACCTCCACGTGGTTCCCCCTGGAAACCATCATGATTAATTATTGTTAAATTTTCGATGGGCCAACTGACCTGACTTCATCCTCACCTATCATCATTATAATACATATTATAAATGAAATAAGTATCTAGTTGGATAGATTACTACTTTATATTAGATAGATTTAAAAAATAAATCAATTTATGATTAATAAACTGATTATCAAATATTCAACGAGTTTCGATCAAATTCGATAGATTTAAATAAAATTAGTACTGGCCTAAATATCAGTTCTCTAATTGGCAAAATACATTTTCATTTATATAATTGTAATTATCCTCTCATTAATGTCACATACAATTTAAAAGTGTGTACTTGTAATCTGTATAAATAAAATTAAGAGATAATCTTCTTAAACTTATATATTGTGTGTTTAAACCTGACCAACATCAAATAAACTTTCAGCAATTCTAAGTTTACATAAAAATAAAATAATTCAATTGACAGTTATAGGGCCCCTACCACGTAGACTCAGCGCAATATAAACATAACATATCGAGTGTTACGTTTACCACAACTTTAACACTAAACAAATGTCTCTGATTACTCCCATCTCATCTCCCCTTACCAAAAGTGTATAAATACTGCAATATGAATATTTATACTCTTTTAGAAGTATATGCATGCATTCGCAGTTTGGGCGCCGAGCGGTTAACACTAGGCTCCAAACAACGATTTATTAATTTACTTGAAGATAATTCGTTTAAAGGTGATACGCGTATCGCGAAACATGCATGGACTGAATGACGATCGGAGATTGATAGCTTATATAGAAAGTATTTTAGTAATAATAATAGCAGTCAATCTTCGAGTGTTGGCAGTCGCACGCATACTAATAATAACGGAATTAAACAAAATAATATTACCTCAAGAGAAATTTTAGTCGCGAAAAAATTTATGTACACTTTTAAATTAAAATCGATTATTTTCATCGTATTAGAAAAACAAAATTTGCCATCTCTTGCACGGAATCTAAAACGATACTTACAATATTGGCCTGCTTAGTCTCGTCGATGTAGTGAGTAGTTATGATGACGGTGGTACGACCGCCTCTGGTTATCTCCACAAGATGGTCCCAGATACTGCAAACAAGGATTAATTGTTATTAGACCATATTTATAAGGCATACGTCTTTAGTTTAACGTCGATAGTCAACTTATCAACTTATTTAGGTATTTAGTTATTCATTACTTGGAGCTAATGAATTTTTATTTATGCACCTTGGAATTGAAAAGAAGTTGACGGCCCACCTGATGGAAAGTGATTGGATAAAAAAGATCAGAAGACTATTCATTATGTCCATAGCATTTATTATCATAGTATGAAATTTACAAAATAATTTCCACATAAACAGCTAAAACAAAACTAATAGAATTCTAGTTAAAATAACATTTTAACGATTATACCAATGCGCTTCTGAGAAAAGACCACCATTTCTATTACTTTCACTTCTTTAGATCCTTAGTCTAGGTGAATCAATTTGCAATCAAACACAACATTAATTATCTATTTTAATAACAAATAAAATAAAAAAAACTCCTGCAACGTAATAAATACGATTTAAAATAAAAACTTATTGCTCCACAAGACTTATAGGCGCCGACAATACGTATAATAACCTAGACACTATATAAATACGTTAAGAAAATGTTTGGTTTTATTCTTTGGACGACATGCTACATAATTACACTAGTACAGTATTATACATATATTTTAAGAAAAAAATTATTTTTATACGCTATTTTAAATTAAACGGAAAAAATTAAATTCAATATTTACTCATTAATCATTGATCTTATCCAAATCGTAATTAGCTGATTCACATTAACAGAAGGTCAAACTAGAGTGTGAATGTGTGTGTGTTTTTTTTTTTATCCATTCCATGATCTAACTAGCATGTAGTGGCCAAATGAAAATATGGTACTAATGCTAGTACCATTCTTCTCTGCCAGTCAACCTTGGGAATGAACAGTGAATCACGTACACGATAGTTAATTTTTTTATAATTATAATAATTAAAACAAATAATCGTATCGTATCAGCAAGTAACTGGCCATTATTAAACATAGGCCTCCTCCATAAGGAAGGGTTTTGCTAGTAGCTGCCATGTTTAGCACGCGGGTTGGCAACCGCGGTTAGGCTTTGGTTATGTTCAAAGAGATACGCTACTGCTCATCCCTCCACTATTAAGTTTTCTTAGACCCCTCTTACGCCACCCGATGGAAAGGAAAAGGTGGCACATTCTATACCGGAATCACACGGCATATAATCATTACCAAACCTACAAACCGTTGTCACGCTTGGCAGGCAGTTTAACAACAGCGGTTAGGCTTTGGTAATATTTTAAGAGGTACGCTACTGCCCATCCCTCTACCTTTGAGTTTTCTTAGACGCCTCTTACGCCACCCACTGGAAAGGAAGGGCTGGTCCATTCTATGCTGGAACCAAACGACGTATAATAATGTAATACAATGATAATAATTATATAGTGATCTAATATATTACCTTTGTCGTAAAACGGGATCCACACCCACTGTCGGTTCATCGAGGATCAGCAATTCGGGATCATGGATTAGGGCTGACGCTAACGATACGCGACGTTGCTGCCCCCCTGATAGGTTTTTCACGTACCTGTGTAATAATTATTATTATTGTCTTAATCTTTCTTAAAAGAGGAGATATGATTTTTAACTAACTTAAAAAAGAAGGAGGTTCTCAATTTGGTTGTATTTTTTTTCAGTTTATTATCTCACAATTCCGTGAGTTCTAAACTGATTTAGAAAAAATCTTTTTTTTATCTAAAAGGATATGCTTATAGACTGGTTCCATAGAAATTCTATCTAAATCAATTCAGTTGTTATTTTAGTTTTTAAATGAAAATAACTGGTATTGTCAAAATTGAAGTCTTTTTTTGACAATCTTTAACTATTGACACAATTTTTAATTATTGAAACAAATAAAAGCCACTGAATAAATTACACAACGCCATCAAGCACCAAACTGATCAGAGCATGCTCTATGCTAGACAACTTATAGTCATTGTGATGAATTATTCATCTTACTCAAACTCTTTCTTTTCGAAATGTTTACTAAGCTTATTGAACACTCATACTTTTTTTTAATAAATATATCCATGTTACATATAGTCAACATCCAGACTAGTGCAAACAGACATTCTCATTAACACAAATGTTTCTATTATGCAGGCATCGAACCCATGAACCCACTGTGGTTACCTGTAATTTAATAAATAAAGTTTTCTTTTAAATATATATTTGTACCAACAGACTCTGTTCTTCCATATTTTTTTTTGAATGTATAAATAGTCAATAATTCATCGCAAGATAGGTATGTATTTAAAGATTTTAGGCATTTGACTATCACTGTCTGTACCATAAAGGATCTGGCATAGATAAATCAAATATAAGTTAAAATAAATAAACATAATAACTAACCCCGTACATGTCACATGAAAGAAAGAAAGAAAACATTTATCGCCAACAACAAAAAATGTACACAAATTATCAATAGAAAATTCGAATTGATAACTTTACATTTGTTTTTGCCAACATGGTTGCAACATCATGACACCATCTAATACTAAACTAAGCAGAGCCTCTTTATACTAGATAACTGATAAATATTACATTTGAGTATGTTAATATTAAGATTCACGAATACATATTGAAAACTGAATAGATATGAACAATTATGGATTGGATGTCACAGGATACTCCTCATATGTTCCATATCTCAGCCTTGAAACTAGCTCTACAAACATAGCTAATTGACCGAAGAAATACGAGAGATAGAAGTAACCTATACAAAATCAATTCATTTTATTTATTACACGAATATGGGATTCCATCATTATATCAGCCATTAATTGTTCATTGCTGAAAATAGACCTCCCCTATTGGGAGTTTTGCCAGTAGTTGCCACGTTTGGCAGGCAGGCAGGCAGGCAGATATTCTATCATAATGACATGTACAATATGAAATTAATGTCAAATTGTTTAAAATAATAATAATGCATAATTATAAAAATATGGCACAGACAGTCTCATGTTTGTAAATTGCACCACACCTCATTTTTATACCACGCATATGTACAGCGCATTTTCTACCAACTCTTGTAATCTTCTTATTTCTACTACAATTATCATGGTAAATAAATTTCATCAAGATCGGGAAAAAACTGCTCGTGCGGAAGAGTTTTCGTCAGGAACCGATCGACCCTTCCTATAAAAGTAATGTCACAATCTCCAATAATGTTTTTTTTACATTATTCATATTTTAATTTATATGCATAAACTTATGTCCAACGAGTATCTTACTGGACTCGCCTTAAACCCTCAGAAGAAGGTCAAGCCTGTAAAATTAACTTCACAATTACCTGGCTGCATCAGGCAGCTGCAGCAATGAGATCATCACATCTATTCGTTTTTCCACTTCGTTCGTTGACATTCCGGCAATCCAACCGAAATACGTCATTGTTTCTTTTATCGTAAACTCGCCGAACAGTGCTATTTCCTGAAAAAGAAATTAAATTATCAGTAATTCTGTAGACATATTTTTTCATTATTATTTCAGCCGTTAACTGTCAATTGCTGAACATAAGCCTTCTCCATAAGAGGAGTTTTGCCAGTAGTTGCACGCTTGGCAGGCAGGTTGGCAACCACAGTTAAGCTTTTAGAGATGTTCGAAGAAGGACGCTGCTGCCCATCCCTCGCTCTCCCTTACTCGACTCGACGACGCCCACGGGAAGAGAAGGGGTGGCCTATTCTATGCCTGGACCACACGGCGAGAATACGATACGAAACACGACAAGATACAAGATATTACATATAAAAAGCATAAATACATGTTTCGCCATACATAAGCATGTAAATGTTGGGTCCTTAATACTATTTTTATTTGTTTTACTTTATTTATTTCAATATGTCAGTGTTTATTTAATTATTTATTTGTTCTAGTAAATAAAATAAATTTTACAAAAATATATATCAAAATCTGTTCAGAGTTAGCAAAAAGTAAAAATATAGACGAATTGAAAATCATTTTTTTTTTTTTAGAAACCGCTGCATTGTATTTCGTATTTTAATACTAATAATCATCAGTAATAATAGTATATCAGTCACCCGCGATTTCTATATTTTTATTTATTAAGGTCACTTCTGAGGCACCATTTCCTAAACCTATTCCTAAATTTAAAACCTTAATTTGATATCACAAGGAAGTCTTTATTATAAAGACCAATATGAACTTAAATTCTAAAAGATTTCTGTAATTTTTTTAATTGTATTTATGTTTCTAGGCATTTCATTGTCACGAAGGCTTTTGTCGTGCTTACAGGATGACGCTTTATACAGATAGACTAGCTTTGTTTGCAGTTTTCAAGCATGATTTCATGTTTCCACTTTACGTTGAAACTTTGCCGGATGCTTCCTCTTTTTTATAATGTAGATAGCAAACGAGTATGTGGCTCACCTGATGGTGAGTGATTACAGCCGCCCATAGGCATCCGCCACACCAGAGAAAAGTGGTGTATTGCCCCTCTTTTAAAAAGGAATATGATTTTTTCTTGAAGGTGTCAATAGGGTATTCTTTCGAAAATACTGCTATTAGGATTTGGTTCCATACTTTGCTTGTGTGTAGAGTATACCTACGTTCCTTAGTTTTCTATTCTAGTAATGACTCTAATAGTCAATTAAGATAAACGATTTTATAAGTACTCATATAGATATATGTAAAATCGTACTGTATCAAATTCAGTAATGTTTAGATATGGAAACATATTATTTATTTATAAGTCAATTTATATTAAGGTCGAGACACCCAGAGACTAAACTTATTTATTATATTTGGGAAGTTTTCACCGCTGCCAGTAATTCTCAGTGTTATTCACTGTCTAGTCTCCTTGAATACTCATGAATAATATAAAATAGGTATCTATCATATTGAAGACTTATGAGAGACTTGAATCTTTTAAAAAATATATTCAAAACAAAAATATTTGAACGTGTTTTTAGAAATACGTAGAAACTCTGTATGTTATCGTTCCGGCATCATGCAAAAAATGCTAAACCAAATTGGATACGAGTGTTTACAATTTTGTTCCTGAGGATCGAAGTTAAAATCCGGTGCATGTTTTATCTTGGTATGCCATCGCTAATATAGCAGCGTAACTTATCAGTATGATATTATGTGATGTTAATCAGACACAATATATTATACATAAATTCATGCTCACACGCTTGAACCTAAATGGTAAATGGTCACGTACAAACGCTATTCTATTAAAAAATTTTCAATTCAATAATTTATTGCTATTACATGTTGTAACAATACATAAGCTATTAAAAGTATAGAACAAGCTTCATAAACTACATAACTAAATTTTTACATTATATATAAGTATCGTCGATTAACATAAAAAAAAAACATTATTATATTAAAACAAATAGGTACAAATACAATTAATTTTTTTCATAAAAAATTCCTGTAGCGTATAATAACTTTTTGTGATTAAATATTTTTTTAGAGCTATTTCAAACTTTTTAGAATCATTTTAAACTTTTTACCGAGGTTTTCTTTAGAGGCTTGTATGAGGTTCTTCAAAAAGGGTTTTTCCTAGTGTTACAGGGTTGGCAGACCATACATGTTGTCTATGGTAGTCTACCATCAGACGGACTTTATGCTTGTTTGCCACCTCCGTGATATAAAAAAATGTAAAGAATTAAAAATAGTCTACGCATACAATGTGCGTGGATTTTGGAAATAGGCAAAATGTGAAATAGTCCTGGAAAAAATTTGCGTTCTCGCATATATGTACTACACTCTTCTGAACAATATACCGTATAAATATACTAGGGTGTGTGTATCTATTGTGTCCATGTGTATATGTCTATAGACGATGGTTATCACTTTCCATCAGCTAAGCCATCAGCATGTTGGCCGTTCTAAATTGCATAAAAAAAAAACAGATTAAGGACAGCACCTTCAATTTTACTTTCTTAATTGTCAAACATCTCTTTTCAACCGACTTTAAAAAGAAGGATTGTCTCATATCAGTTGTATTTTTTTAAGTTTTATATCAGCCGTTTATCTGGGCGTTTTTTATGTTTGTTACCTCTTAACTGCGTCAATTATATACCGATATAGAATTTTTTTTTTTATCTAAAAGAATATTGTTACAAATTGGTTCAATAAAAATTTTATTAAAATCAATCTAGTATTTTAAATTTTTAAATCAAAGTAACTGGTTTTTCTAAAATTGAACTCGGTTTTTTTCTTGTGGATCACAAACTTATTATCATAGTCTAAGGACAGTACCTGCGACTTTTTACCCTTGAAACAGATTTGACATTGGCATGAACATAGCATTAATATTATAATTATTTATCAACGACATTATGTAAACATCTACGCTTCAATGACTAGAAAACAGGCTGTTTACATCAATTGACATTGACTTTATAACACTGGTATTACAATGGTATAATTTTCTCAATAGCTTGTTAGAAAATTATACCATTTACAGTATAGAAAGGATAGTTTTGTAAAATGGATATATATACCTATAGACACGTAAAAAATGTCTTTACGTTTTTGACACGTCATCTTTTACAGTACAAATATAATACATATATTATCGTAACCCATTCCTTAAAACTGATGTTATTATTCCGTAATAGGGTGTCAAAAAATTTGCTTTCTAGCAAATATTATTATATTACCAAAAAATAAAAATTGAATTCTCGAAAAAAAAAAACACCTGCATCTGTACCAACTACATAATAAAAGGTATGTACATACGTTTTATTATATAATGAAGTTGATACAAGTACAAATTGTTGTTTTTTTTCGAAAATTTATTTCTTTATTTTTTTGTTATTAAGAATATTTCATAGAAAAAAAGGTTTTTTAAACCCTATTGATAAATAAACTGAACCCTACCCTATTAATAATAAACGAACAATACTATCATTAACTGACAGCATTATACAGTCTGCTATAATTATGTATCAAAGTTGATACATAATTATAACAGACTTTTAAATTATACTATAATAAGATCAACAATAATAAATTTAAACTACACTAATTATATTTTTTTTAATACCTACAGAGTTAAATCGGAAAAGAATATAAATTGCAGAGCAGTTTCACAGTGCTATGAATATTTATCACCCATGTATCTATTTAAGTAAAATAAACGAAAATATAAAATACTACGTTCCTCCTCTATGTTCCTCTTTCGTGTTACTAAAATAGTTTTTTTCTAAAGTAAACATAGATTAAAAATATAGAAATAATTAAAGTTTTCATACTACATTTTGAACTAGCATGGATAGTTAATTTTGAAATAAATTATTTTACTAGTAGAATACGACTTCAAAAGGATACCGAATTTCTCATACGCAACTTCTATTTAAACGTTCTTTACTATATTTAACTGCTTTAAGAATAATTTTTCTATTAATTTTTGTTCTATCTACGCCAATTCTTAACTGATTTTCATGATTCTCATACAAATTTTATATTTGTCACGATTGGCAATTGGCCTTCAATTATGAAAAATTCTTTTTTATTACTACATTAATAAAGTGATATACATAACTTTACATAATTATGTAGAGTAAATACCTATTATTATTTTTTTACACAATTATGACACAACCATTTATATAAGTAAATTTATTAAATATCTTAGTATATATTTCATTATATTATAGAAACAAACAAGATTGCCTAAAGGTGTGGATTACCATGGCTATCAGGTGAACCCTGAGAACCTTAAAATACTTTTTTTGTAGAATTTCATACCGCAATCTCAACAACAAGCTCATCTCTTATTTGAAAACACACTGTATAGGAACATTTACGGTTTTAATATAAAAACAATTTAAAATACTGCCCATCTATGCAGCGTTTAATAAAAAAAATTGATTAATTATTCTCTAATCCGTGTAATAATATTCAATCAAATCTTTAAAATATTATAAATGCTTTAAACACATTTTATTTTTAATAAGACAGACTTTCTTTTATTCACATATTAACAAATTGTGTTTAAAATTTGTGTTGTGTTGTTTTTAAATTTCTTTTTGTAGTAACACGTCTAATCGTGTATCTATTTAACACTTGTTTATCAGAAGTTTAAATTCTTTATGATAAGACCGTTTTGATTCAGGAATGAATCGTGAATATCGTATCAGTCTCTTCTTTTAACAGTCTTTTTAAAGGCCTATTTGCTGTTATAGCCATAGCAGTAAGATAACATTAAATACTAGAAGCGATCGTTTTCTGTAACAATCCTTGTTAAAATTAAAGGACAAGTTCTTTTCACTATTTAATTGAATTATTTATGCCACCAATATATCCTAACCGTACTCGATCGATGCGAGATTAATTAGACTACATTAAATATAAGCGTTAGTATAAGTTATTATATAAGTACTAAATTGTATCCTAAATATTTAATTTAGTTGAAATTTTGACTTTTATTGGTTTAAAATTTTATTGTAATTTCTTTAATTGTTTTAGCGTGAATAAATCATAAATATTAGATATAATGAATCACAAACTTTTACTAGTAATGATCATAAATATTGTGAAGGATACCTAAGCATAGTCACGTTGGCATGAATATGTATAGATTGATACGTGTCTCAATATGATGTACACAGTTCAAGGCGATGCTGACTGACTGTTTCTATCTACTTGTCACCTTGCGTAGCATATATTACACGTACTACAAACGTGTGTTAGAAAAAAATTAACAAAAAATTATTTCTACTAGATATTTTCAAGAATTATAATCAACTCTGATGTTTTCTTGCACCATTCAGTAAATCTATTTTTAAAAATAAAATTTTATATTTTGAGTAAATTATTTATTCTAAGTTCCCATATAAACTAAATTTCTAAAAGGTTTAAGTCATAATCATCTATTAAAAAAGTTTATATTGATCATTAAAATACAGATTTTTTTCAAAAATAATGTTTAGATAAATTTAAAGAATGGTGTCATAGAACGACTCCATTGTGTATTATTTCAAAACCTTCAAGATTGAAAAATATATTATTAGAGGCATATTCCAGTCAGTTTTTACAGTTTTTGGATGTATGAGATGAATATGAGTAAGGTTATATATATAATATATTATTAAGCCTTACACTGTGGTTCTAGTACCATCTTCCTCTTATATAATGGAAAAATCAGTATTCTAATTCACATACATAAGGTAAGTTAAAACAACTACACTATCAGCACACACTACCGCAACCTCATACTACCGCATTTATAGTGTCATTGTATTGCATATAAAAAAACACACATAAAACGTGTACTACACATAATCCTACTTTTAAAAGCATCACATAACATACTAATAAAAATACTTAATTTTTATAACTGAGATTTGGCCGCGGCGCTGCCGTGCACTGTGAATAATAAACAATGTAAATTGTTGTAAGATTAATGTCTCAAGGGAGCACTATCGCGGTTATGGTAAATTGCTTTGAGCATTTAGTATTCAATACGTTAGATTTAGTACTAGATATTTACTAAGTATATAATCAATAAAGAAAAAGGTTTACAGAGAATTTCAATTATTACTACAATGGATAAATAACATACATACATACATATCTGTCACGCCTGTCTCCCATTAGGGTAGGCAGAAACAATGGACAAATAAATAAAATAATAAAACAACGGATAAATAAATAAAATAATTTAAAGAATACTTATGTAATTAATATGCAGTAAAATTTGCTTTGTATCTATGTAAACTGCTCTAGTGGCCATGTAGTCCTGGCATAGAATAGGGCACCCCTTCCTTTCCCGTGGGTGTCGTAAAAGCCGATTAGGGAAGGGCGAGGTATAAGTAAAGGAGCGTCCCTTTTAAAAAATCTCTAAATCCTGACTCCGGTTGCCAATTCGCCTTCCAAGCGTGACAACTACTGGCAAAATCCCTCAAGGGAGACTTATGTTCAATAGTGAACAGTTAAAGGCTGATATGATGATATATATATATATATATATATATATATATATATATATATATATATATATATATATATATATATATATTTATATATATATCAGAAGTAAAACGCTAAAACCACTAAGCACAAAACTCAAGAATAGTTTGATTAATTTAACTATATTTTTTTTACTTAAAGTTCTTTAAAAACAAATGGAAAATTTGCCAAGACCAACGTAATATTTTTTTTTATGTACAAGCTATTTCTACTTTCAAATTCAAACATTACATTCAGTAGATCGCTATAGAGGGTTAAAAAAACATTTGTGGGGTCAGAATTTTTGTCCGTGTAGTAACTGTACATGGAATGAGAGTACTCATAAGAGGCAAAAAAAGGCATTAAAAAGAAGAAATATATCGGAATATTATTCCTATACGAAATCTCCTGAGGATCGCGACGAGCCGTTAATAGGTTAATATGCTAATATCCTCCTCATATGATGGGATACCAATATCAGGTAGTGAGACTCTAATAGATAAGTTAAAATGAACTCGTTCTTATTATTTTATATTGAGTCATTATTTTACATTAAAACCTTTAGAAATAACAAAATTGGACATATTGCTGCTTGTGGTTAACTGCATTTATTTATTTATTTATTTATTATATATCACCAAACAATTAAGGACTTACTACCTATAACTTGCAGAACATTTTAACAATATTATGTGTGGGAACTGGTTCCTGTACTAGGTGTTGGACCTGTATTACAAGTAACCAGGACCCTTGCCTCGAACAGTACAAATTATACAGATTATAAAAAACTTTCACAAAAAAATCATCCTTTGGTATCAAGTGTTTTCACTACAGAAATAAGTAACAAAATAATAAACAGCAGTAAATTTACAAGACAGTAATCTTTATAGAGGTGTCCCTAGACACGATCTACGTAAGTTATGATAAATAATATATAATAGGTACTCGTACTGTGTATTAGATCCGGATACGGTTTATCTATGTACAATTTTCACATAAACAACAACCGGAAGCAGCTATGTTTGCATGGCTGTGTTTCGGTTTGAAGGGTAGGATATGGCGTGAATTTACTGGGTACAGAGAAATAACACCTGAGTCCTCAGGAATGGCAACGCATGGGGGGTATTATGGGCGATACAGTATACTCTGTTATATCCATGGTACTGCTCATGTCTATAGGCGACGGTTACCACTTTCCATCAGGTGGACCGTCAGCTTGATTGCCATTCTAAGTTGTATAAAAAAATTCATAAATTATTTTTTTATGCAACTTAGAATGGCAAACAAATTGACGGCTCATCTGATGGAAAAGGGGTAACCGTCGCCTATAGACATTAGAAATACCATGGACATAACACAATATACTGTTTCACCTACGCCGCCCACCTGATGGAAAGTGGTAACCGTTGCCTATAGACATGAACAGTACCATGGGCATAACAGAGTATACTGTTTCGCCCATGATACACCCCATGCGTTGCTATTCCTGAGGACTCAGGTGTTATTCCTGTGTACCCCCTGTAACTTCACTACCATGTCCCACCCTTCAAACCAAAACACATCTATGGAAACACAACTGCTTCACGGTAGAAACATGAATGGGACAGAGGTACCAAAGCAAACGACTTTTGTAAAGTCTCCCTCTGGTAAAATTCATTCGTTTAAGCATCATAAAGTAACAAACATTCAAATATAAATAATATGAAAAGTTATCATTGTATAAAACTTATTATTAAACTTAAGTATAAGTAACACTTACTTGAGGCATGTACCCTATCCTTGGACCTGGTACACCGCTGCCAGGACTGCCAGGCTTTCCACCTAGCACCCATATCTCACCAGAGTTAAGTCTCCGTCTACCGACTATGCAGGAGAGTAGTGTAGTTTTCCCACAACCCGAAGCACCAAGAAGTCCGTATCTATTTAAAAAAAAAAGTTACTTTTAGACTTTTTTTTCAGTTTTATCCATTAACTAAAGCCGAGGTTAATTTGATTTTGATTATTACAATATCTTACTATTACTAAACATTCGTAAGTAAGGCCGACATAAATAAATAAATTAATATTTAATAAAATAAATAAATATATTTATTTATTTTATAAAGTTTTGTTTCCTCATAATTTTTATATAGAAATTTTTCTTAAATATTTCGTATGTATAACAACATTACTATATTAATAAGATTTATAAATATTTATATTTATTAATAAATTCTTATAATTCGTTATGACTCAGGATAATTATTATTCAAGAAACAAGAAGTCAATGATAAAATTATTAGATAAAAAAATACCACAATTTCACAGAATTGGATTCATAAACGCATGACCCTTGTCAAGAATAATGCGAAAAATGCCGAAACCCTGTTTTTCGCGTCTAGAAGAAAAACAGTAATAAAAATGGATCAAGTGCAGAATACAAAAAAGTACACAAAATTATTAGATTTTATTTTCATATTCTATTGCATTATGACATCCGAATGTTTTATTTGTGTACCTTTTAGAACTTTACATATTATTTGCTTTTATTATTGGTATGTACATAGATCTATTTACTTATATCGACATTTAACCGTTTCATTTTTTTCAATGGAACTCTAACTATTAATCTCATTTTTACAATGTTATAGAACTTGATACTGGTTCCAGTTTGGTATTTATTTAAATTTTAATAAACAGTAAAATTCTATGTACATTTGGCGGACTTAACACCGGATGGTGTTCTATACCAGTCAACCATTAGGCAAACCGAGAAATACATAGGCGGTACATTATTAAATAAATATATATATATATATATATATATATATATATATATATATATCTTATATATATATATATATATATATATATATATATATATATATATATATATATATATATATATATATATATATATATATATATATATATATATATATATAAGTAAGAACTGTTGCTAAACTAGTTTTAAAATGCTAATAATTCTTTACTTTTAAACAACAAATTTGTTAATAAAAATAAAAAAAAATCTATTATAAATATTAATAATGTAACTAAACTAAGTAACAAAAACGTAATAAAGTACTACACTCAATGAAATAATCTTTATGGCTGTCACTTTGCTGTCTATCCTTAATTTAAAAGGTTCATAAATGGAGTAACTTAAATATCCGGAATTTGCTTATTTTAAATTAAATATTGACTCAAAAACCTATATTGTTGAATTTTTTTCACAGATAATTATAATAAAATTTTTTTCTTACCTTTTTTCTTATAATATAAATAAGAAACTTAAATGTTTGCTCCACAAAACAATAAGGACTCTAATGTTAGTAAAATTAATATTAAATCAACAAATTATATAATCTTAATAATCTTGTCTTATTAATATAATAAAATTGTATTATCTGTACATGAAACATATTTAAAAAAAAATCATATACCAAATTTTAAAGAGAGTAGTAGAAGACAAAACAATATTTTCTAGAAATTTTGTCTCTGTCTGTCTGAATGGTTGTTATGAAATCACGCAAAAAGTATTGAATCAAATTGAATACAATTATATCAAAATAGAAGGTCTAACTAAAAATCCAGTTCATGTTTTATCTTGATGCGCCATCTAGTAGTAGTCTATTTCATTGGTTTTCCTACTTCTAAATTTCACGCTTACGAAGTTGTGAGCAAAGAGCTAATATTTTATAAATGATAAAACGAATTATCAAAACCAGTTCGAATTTTGTATATTGTATATGACGTAACATATGTATAACCGTCCCATTATTAATTTTAATTACAAATTACAAAATAGAAATTCCTGGGTCTAGAAATATAAATTTTACACAGTAACATAAGTGATATCTAAGTAGAAATTATTCGAAATTCCAAAACGGGAAGAGGCGATAATGAGCTCAAAGAGAAAAAGAAATACCTACTTATTATTATTTAACGGTTCCTACCACACAACTTTCAACAAAATAATTTTTAAAAAGTTAATAGACTCATAGCGTTTTATTCTAGTTTTGAACAAAAAATTAAAAGTATTTTTCTTACAGTATTTCATAATTTACAACATCGTCTAAATAAGAGTTTGATCAAAAATGTTCTGTAAACGGTATTAAAAAAGTTAACAATCAACACGAACTTAAGGAATCTGTTTACAACTTTTAAAGAGAAGAAAGAAAAAAATTTACTAAAAAATTCCGCTGTTTTTCACAAGTTCTCGCGTTAATTTAAAAGTTATTTCCGGGGATTGAAGTTCGGTTCAGCTATAATTTTAAACAGCTCAACTTGTCTTATGAAATGTTGGCTGCTAATACATTTTGCCCTTCGTTAACGTCACAGAAAATGCCAAATGGAAAAATTAAAAAATGTGTGGTTATATAAAAGGCTTTTCTGGAATTTTACGGTTAAAAATACTTTTAACTGGGTTATAAATATCTGAATATTTAATCAAACTAATTACGTCTTTTCTATAGATATAGTAACATATATATAAATAATATATACTCAATCCTTATTTTTGTAACTGGTACAATGAAGTATTAATAAATAATGTACTAATAACTGAATTACTTTCATAATGGTTAACTAATTATATTCTCAATTTAAAAGTAATTTTTTTATGTTATCTACAATTTAAGTTACAATCTTATAAATTATGTAAAATAGCATTAAGAGGTTAATACTCACATAGCTCCTTTAGGGACAGTCATGTTTAAACCGTCCAATATTACGTTAGGGTTTTTCGATGTCCCATACTTTTTGTATGCTCTACGAACGCATACCGCCTGCTGTCGTCTGGAGGATATAGTAGATTTCTGTGGCCTCAGCCGTCTAAGCCTTTTAATGGCTAAGTCATCCTCTATGGTACTGACTGTGTTAGATTGGTCTGGATTACGCACATCCTCCATAGATATCGTTGCCCCCTCATTATCGTACGCAGGCATTTTTATCTGAAAAGAAATAGTAATATTGAAAATGTATTGCTTTTATGTAATTAGATATTCATTTTGTTTGTATGCATATTGTTCATCTTTATAATCTGAATCGTTCGTTGAAAGAAACAATAAAGAATTTTGATTCATTCATTCATTCATATATCTGTCAATTCTATATATACTGATATATGAATAAATGTTATCCGGACTATATTCCTCAATGATATAGTCAAAAGTATGCTGATTGATATCATTATAGTAAACCTAATATTTAACATGCCCACATTTTTTAACTATATTCATCAATCCTAATAAACTGAGTTTAATGAAATTTAGTACACAGAACATATCGTAGATTACATTCTCATTCTAATTCATGTGAATAAAATCATAATACATTTCTTATATATACTACAGTGCTACAATAACTTAAAATAAATTGGTACATTAATAATAATTTGTCCTTCATTAGGTTTTGCCTATGTGCTGACAACCCTTTAACTTTGCCTAACTTTATTATACTCATACTTAGTATTATTAGACGACTATAAATTCGGGACTATTGTCAGTGTTAACATATATATTTTAATAATAAGTGATAATATTATATAAATAGTAAGTTAATATATTTTTTATTCTTTTAAATATTTATTAGTATTTTCCAAAAAGAAAAAAATACTACAATCTGTAAAAGGGATTATATGACACAAACGCATTTAATCACGTACATATATAATCAATAGGAAACGGTAGTTAAGGAGTTTATTACAAACGCATTTTGCCATAATCATAGTTCAAACACAACCATTAACGCATGATGTCACAATCAAAGTTCATGGCAAACGCAGTTCAACTCAAACATTTTTCAACCCAAGTGCAATTCATTACAAACTCAGTTCGTCGTAAAGGTAGTTCGTTTCAAATACAGTTTGCCGAACGCAGTTAGTCAAAATACATTTTACCACAATACATGTCCACCATGTCCACGGTCAAAGCCGAGGGATATAGCCCGTATTGGAAATATAAAGTGATGAAGTATTTTGTTACACATATAATAAATAATTGATGATCACGATGACTGAGCTGGATTACTAAATGTGCCGTATCATTGAACTCTATTATAAGAAGTTTCTTGATTGATTTATCGAGTAAAGCTCCATAAATCTACAAAGATAGGATCGTTGTATGTTACAGCTATTATAGTATATATTTTAATGTTACAATTAATATGTACTAACTAACATACAGCCATTCCTATGTAAATTAACATAAACGTAATCTATGTGTCAATCTATCCAAACTTTCGAATGTATTAAATAGAATCTAAAAACATATGTCAATAGTTTGCAAAAATTTTTGGTTATTTAATACATCATTGTCATCATATCAGCCGTCAACTGTCCACTGCTGAACATAGGCCTCCCCCATAAAAGGGATATTGGCTGCAGTTACCACGCTGAAAAGGTGAATTAGTAACCACAGTTAGGCTTTGGTGATGTTTTAAGAGGGACACTATTGCCCATCCCTCGATTATAAAGTTCCCCAAGTCGCCTCTTACGACACTTACAGGAAAGGAAGTGGTAGCCTATTCTATATCGGAACCACACGTCAATTTAATACATAATTACTATTAAACCACTGAACTAATTTGAATTACATTTTGTACACAGACAGAGCAGACTCTACATTTACACATATTGTACCCAATTTGACGTGAACAAACCACCAAGACAAAGCTAGCAAATAATAATTTGCTTCTCATTAATCACTCTCGTAGTGTAGTTAGTAGTTTACTAGTCTTAGGAAAGATCTTAATTATTATAAATTCAAATCTGTAGATACATTTTAGTAATGGAAGCCATCGCGTATTGTAGTGTCTCAGTTGTTGAAGTAATTTGTATTCTTATCCTTGAACAGTGTCGATTATATCATGGAATAGTTTTTATATTTAAAGTTTAATTTACAATAATTTACATATTTAATAATATAATAATAATACTACAATTAATAATACTGCAAATATTAAACAATTTAGAATTTACTTTCGATCTAAAAAGCAGGATATGGCAATGAAATTGTAGAATACAGGAACATAACACTTTTATCCTCAAGAGATGAGGGCATTATTTGTCAGTGTGTATTCAATGATGTCCATGATGCAGTTCATGTCTACAGGCGACGGTAACTACTTTACCGTAGACCGTCGGCTTGTTTTCTATTATAAGTGCCTTTGACTGTACCGTTTAGGATTTGCTTATAGAATTTCAATACAAATTAATGTAAATGTAAACAAACTAGTAACTGAGACAATTTACTGATATTCAATACAGTATAATAGGAGTAATCAAAAGATGATTAATATATTCATTCAGTACAAAGTTCAATATTATATTAACACACAGAACAAACCATAAGCCTTATGACTTTACCATGTACCACTATTATTGACATAAAATATAGGACATTAATAAACTATATAAATTAATAGTTATAAATAATAACATAGGCAATTATAAAAATTGATAGTTGAATGTTTCAATTTGTCACTCATGTCATTTAGAGTATTCGTGTTATGATTTCAACAAAACTTAGTTACCTTTTCATTAAATTCTATTGAAATTTACCATACATTTAAATATTTAAATTATGAAACAACGAAATGTTGGTATTTCAACAAGTCATGTAATTTGCACCTCCGGGGCATATTTTCTGTCAAGGTACGCGCCACAATAACATGCTTTTGCTGCTGTACTTGAACTCTATAGGTACAAGTTACTATTAAATTCAAGGTTTCTTAGTGAAGATTCGCGTAATATCCCTTCGTTGTAAAAACTTTAAGCCATCTTAAAATATACGATTTAATATTAACGTATTTTTAAAAAATTATGGAAATTATAGGATTGCGGCCGGATCTTTAATCATTGTTGGTATAAAAAATTGGTAGTAGGTATCTATATACAAAAGTCAAGGGAAATTAATGAACTCACTATGTTTTGCCGTTATAAGAAATGAACATAAGTTTTAAAAATAATAATGACAATAGGTATTAAAAATTCTCTGTAGTATTAACAATTTCCTATTCATAATTAATAAAATTTTGGTCATTTCATTAGAATTACTTTGTTTAATTCCACTACCATTAGTATGTGACTGCCAATACTTGAAGACTGACCACCAATATTTTTACTAGAAGTTCCACAATCTTCCATATTAGTCATCAGTCTCCAACCGCCACTTTGTCCACACATATGAAAGGTTGGGAATCTTCAATTAGTAATAGTAGTGTTTAATCTTCGAGTTTTCGCAGTCACATATTTTTTTTTATACAACTTAGAATGGCAAACAAGCTGACGGCCCACCTGATGTAAAGTGGTAACCGTCACCTATAGACATGAGCAGTACCATGGACATAACAGAGTATACTGTTTCGCCCATGATACCTCTCATGCGTTGTCATTCCTGAGGACTTGGGTGTTATTCCTCTGTACCCAGTAAATTCACTATTATACTAGTAGTAAAATACTTATGGTAGCGGAATTAAACAGAAAAAATCTAATCAAATAACCAATGCTGTGGACTTTCGCAAATAGCACCTAATTTAGTAAAATATTGATAAGATTTCGTTCCAAAGTTCTCATGACAAAGTTAGTATTGAACAAGAGAGCAAACCCATTAGCCATCGTTAAGAATAATCAAAATAAATTTTAAAGTTATCGCCTAAAATAGACATTTTTCTTAGAACTAGAGCTCATTAAGTAAATATGAACAACATATTCATTATCTACATATACCTTTAACATCATTAAGTTTTCACGAATCCAAATAACAAAAAACGCACATTAAAGTGCAGTCGGCTCTTCAACTATTATGCCAAGATATAAATAACCAGTTATATGTGGAAAAATACAAATGCCTCTACACTACAGCGATATAAATAGCTTATAAAGAGAGGTTAAGGAGATGAGTGATTCAGAAAGTTTAGTCATTTTTAGAGGAATTAGGAAATCTTTGAAATGGCTATAGCAATTTATTGCTTTAATAAGGTTATGGTTGGTGTATGGGTTTTTCATAAGAATCACAAATTCATAAAACCTTAGAAATATCTACTTCAGATGATATTATTTCATTTACTCTTTGTTTTCTTGATTACGTGTACGTTTAAATTAATTTCAGTTTAAACTTAATAATTATAGAATTACATATATAAAATATAAATAAAAAGATAAAAAGTGAATAAATAAATGCCTCATCATCATCATAATATCAGCTTTTAACTGTCCACTGCTGTCCCCCTTTAAGGGGTTTTGCCAGTAGTTGCCACGCTTGGCAGGCAGATTGACAACCATAATTAGACTTTGAAAATGTTTTTAAGCTCTCTTTTAGGTGCCTCTTATCGCCCTTACGACACCAACGTGGGAAAAAGGAAGGGACCACACGCAATATATAAAAATCTATGACGGAATCACATGTTTTGGAAATATAAATGCCTAATTATGACGAAATGGAATAGGTTTTGTTTGGAAAACATCATGGATGATAATGGAATGATAATCATCTTCCACTAGTGTCTCGTCGGTGTATACCCCGCCTACGCTATGCTAGGTATAACGGAAACACGTTGTCAGAGCACCGATAAAATGATGATATGGAATGAAGACGACAGAGCACCAGTAAGAGATGATAGATTCATTGTATGAAAGTAGATCAATCAGCCCATCGTGACGAATTCCACTAGAATTAACCACGATGGTTTCCAGGGGGAACCACGTAGAGGTCGACCTGATAGAGTGTATTGCAGACAATGGGTTAGTTAGACCCTATTACCAACAATCCCTTTCCCCCCAATAAGATAGGTTTACCTATGAAACTGTTGATGAAATTAATGAATGTATGTAGTTTCATTCCATTAGTTTCATAATGTAAATTGAACTTTAAGGATCAAGCAATCTGTGTAATTTACTTTATGGTTCCGGATATTTCGCGATTAATTAGTAAGTGGTTCTTAGTATAACATA